AATGTACGGTGAAGATAAAGGCTAGGAAATTATCATAAACTTGCCAATACTATTTGTTTTACTTTACGGAGGGAAAAGCGAACGGACAAGTCTTCCCATTTAGATGTCAATTCACGTCTTGCTCAGCCAAGATAAGTGCAAAATTCATTTATTCTCTTCCTCTTTATTGTGCATTGAATGGGAATGAGAGAGAGGGGATTTTTTTCGTGACAAATTGTGTTACATCCAAAAGGAGGTGAAGAAATTTTGCTAAATGAATATGTTGGAAGAGAGGAATTTAGGGACTTTTTCAGGGTCTCATGGTTCTTGCTTTAAGGAATGTCTGTGTTCTTAAAGAGAGATTCAGATTTCTTGTATTTAATCATTTTGTAAGATTAAATTGTAATTATTAAAATCCACAGAAATTCTCCACTTTTTCCTAAATAAAATCGAAGAGTTTTCTAACCTTTGAAAAGAATTGCATTATTGGAAATTCAAGACATCTTTTGCAAAAATGCTGAACGAATTTGTACAGAACGAAGTCATGAAAATGACTGTTTTATTTAATAGCTTGTGCAAAGCCTCTGTCAAGAGTCTTATGATGTGTACTTGCGTTTGAAAAGCATAACAATTTCCGTCCCTTCTTCTTGGAGTTTTTGGTGAAACTTTTGAGCTTGAAAAAGACATGGATTTTGTTGGAAAGTCGCCTGCAAAAAGGTGCAAAACCATAAGAATCCCACGCAAATGTGGAATGTTGGAATGAAAATTTTACCACGGCTTTGGTGAGAGACGAAGAAATGTGTGTCTCTTTTTCTCTCGGGTTGTGTTTTGTGTCTCTGGGGTCTGGATGAATCGCTGGGGATGTGCGAGAGCGAGAGAGAGAGAGGAAACAGTGTTGGGGGTGGATTAGAAGAGCTTCAAAAGGCAAAGAGGAGTCCCGTGTGGATCGATACTTGACTGCCCTAGCGAACTTGTACGATGGTTGTGTTTGAGAGGGAGATGAAAATTCTCTATTGTTACCATCATCATGGATGTGGAGTTTCGCTTCTCCCCGAAAATATTTGTCTGGGGATCTCAATGTGTTGATTATACTGTGGAGAGATGTGAGAATTGTCGCCCTTCTGCCTTCCTGCCTCTTCAGATCCTTTTTTTTTCCCGCCCTGTCGAGTAGAGCTTGTACATATATTGAGTTGTGCGTTGGATGCTCTCTGTGCAGAGAGTGTAATTGAATGTGGGGCGAAAATCAGAAAATATTGGATTCACAGTGTAAGAGGTTGTGACTTGCATGAAGTGTGCTGTGGATGATATGGGTTGGGCCAATGTCAGGACACAGAAGGAGAACAGGTGGGAAAGGATCCTTGAGAGATGCGTGTGAGCCACCGAAAAAATTACATACACACAATGTGTGGGAGTGTACAATGTAATGAATATTTAATGAAAAGGGAAGTCTCACTTTTGCCCTGTTTTGTCACTCTCTGTGAGACACACACGCTCCTCTGCCACATCGACTAAGGGAGGGATGCTCATTGCCTGGCGCGAGAAGAGGTGTGCAAAAAAAAAGAGGCAGAGATGACAGTGAATGGGTTAGTTATCAATTTCACCTTCCACTCTCCTCAGCTTCTCTATCGCGCATCAGTGTTGTATCATCATCAAAGGCAATTTTCCCCACATTTCTCTCGTTTTCATGCTACAAGAGAGTTTTCTATGTGAAAATAGCTTCATGTCTAATGTATTTTGTCGTCAATGTTTGTAATGAAGATAATTTTTATACATTGTGTGTACTTTTTTGCCCATTCCACATTGCGCACAATTGGGGATGTACAATAAAATGTGATACTGTGTTGTGTGTCTGTATGGTTGCTCTTGAGTAAAAAGCGCCACGCTGGTTTATTTTTAGACACTCTCTCTTGCGCGCATCGGTACAAGAGATGGGACAAATTAGTTCAATTGAATTATTTATGGGTAGATGAAAAAGAGAAAAATTAAAAATTAAACATTCTATGGGAAAGTTGACTTGGAGGGAAAAATAATGAATGTGTGTGTGTGGGGAGAGAAGATATGATGATGATGGCTAAATGACGATGAATTGAAGGGCACGAGTGCGATTTTTTATCCGCTTTTCTGGTCTGATGAATTGTTTGTGTTGTTTCGCCACCCAAAAAATAATGATATTGACTTTGTGCCGTGGCATTGAAAATTTATGCAGGTGAAATTTCGATGGACTTGCAAATTTCACACACACTCACACACTTAATGCAAAAGTTCATAAATCTTGAAATCATAAGAAGAGGAAAAGTTGAGTAATTTTCGCCTTGACTCACGGGAAAATGTGTCTCATGGTGTCGGAGAGAAACGAGGCTGTAAAGTCAATTGTGGGGAAATGATGAGTCACGGAATTTCTGCTTCAATAGTTGAATAACACAGAGTTTTACGAAGAAGCGAAGCAATATTGACTTTTACAGCCTATTTTGAGGGTCATTTCTCAAACACACAATTTACTTATGTGTGTTGTGACTGTGGAGAAAAGAGGGTGAAAGATTTTCATGAGTGCGACTCTGGTCGAGAAATTCCAATAGAGACATCATCATCAAAATGGATTTAAATGAGAATAATTGAAATGTATAAGAATTCCTCTACGTGACTGTCTTTCTGGGCACGCTTATGTTACGATTTGTATGTCTGAAATTGGATGGAATGCTTCTCAACAATCTTATCAACTATGCTTCTTCTCTCGTGCTGTGAAGTTGAAGAGGAGGGAGACTTTTCCGTGTGGTTTCTTGCATACACTTGATGGGATTTTTCCTCCTTGTGTATTGTCTCTCTGGCGAACGAACACACTTGAGAAGACAGAGAAAGAGAGAGAGAGAGACAGAGTAGAAGAAGGAAACTTCTGTGATGCGCAGGTTTTTCCATACGAATGGAAAACCATAAAATTGTGGTATTTTCTCCTGTTTACTCCTTTCACATGATTACATTAAACTCTTTTACAGAAATTTACCACGCATATGCGTCGTCTTCCTTTTGCCTTATTTTCCATGGCGTTTGTTGTTTCACCTTCCAAAACAGGAGTTGGAATAGGTTTTCCTCTGTGTTTTATTTGAACTCTGTGTGTAGTTGAGAGAAGAAGAGGCGATGCGATGAGAGTTTATCACTTCTTGCTCTGCTCCACTTGTACATTTCTTTCCACCAGCAAATTAGCGAAGTTGAGAAAGGTAGACACTTGTCGTCACAGTGGAGAATAAAACGGAAATAGATTTGAGAGATTGATAAAAGTGTGCTTCGTACTATGATTCCATTTCCAACTGTGCGCCGCAATTCTGTTCCTCTCTTCTTCCCTCTATCCGTGCTTTTCTCAGCTATATATTGGTTCTTCTTCGATTGGCAATGAGGCGAGGGAAAATTCAATTGAAGTCATAAAAGACGTCTCTCGGAATATAGGAGTTGTACTTGAACGACCCAGGAATATTATAATGGAATATTTTTACAGCTTAATCATTCTGAGTCATTCTCCTGGGAAATGTGCCAAGTGTGATGATGTTGAGGAATGCAGAGAAAGCTGTGAGAGAGTGTGAAGAAAAGTGCAATGAAATAAGAGATAAGACTTTGTGACACTTTATGTGAGAACATTTTGTCACTCCTAATTAATTTATGAAATATAATTAATTTATTACTCCTCTCCTCTCCATTGGGGGGCATTTTTCCTCCCTCTGTGCGCGCGCTGAAAAAGCACGGAAAGAGGGAGGGAGGGAGGGAGGGAAAGATTGAGAAATTGTTTGGGTGAATGATAAAATGTCTTAATTCATCAAGGCGATTTTTTGCTGCTGTCTCCAGAAACATAAAGGACATCTTCCGCTAGAGATAATGAATAAATAAAAGTTTGTGAGGTTGAGAGTTTTCCTAATTGAATAAGGATCTTCTTCAATGCCAAAACTTTGTCTTTTTTACACCCCCACATAAAGTTTTTTTTTTGGGCACGAGAGAGAGAGATATTCGTGGGAAAATTCCCACAGCAGCACCTCTTTCCAACATCTTTAAATTATCTTAATAATCTCTTCAATGTTATATAATGTTTCGTGTCTTCTTATCTACCGATATCTTGTAAAATTGATGCACAATATGCAAAATGAAGATAAACATACTCAAAGTGTGGAATGTTTGGGAGAGAATCTTTCAGTCATCATTATCACAGAGCGAGCTTATTTGTTGTGCTTAACTTTGAGGAATTTGTAGCGGAAGAGTTTATCTGGGAAATTTCGCTGAATATTTGCTTATGAATGCACATCATTGAGTGAGAGGGAGAAGATAAAGTTTCACACAGCTGAGGATGAAGTATTTGCTCTTTGTGGCATTGCTAAAAAGCCAGACGGTTGAATTGAATGTAATTACATGATATCTAGTTCTTCAAACACTGTGATTTAGGGTGTTTGGAGGATTCTGTGAATGGATTACTTGTGTAAATCATCACGAATGGAAAAATCCGAGTAGTTTTCAGATAAACTTACTGAATTCAGTGCTAGAAAATGCTCATGTTTGTTACAATTCAGGCTTGAATTCTTGATTTCGTAGTTAATCTATTCATACATATTCACCGAAGGCTCATTTTGGACTCGAACTTGGAATCCTTTAATTGCTAGTCCAGCGGTCAATCGTATAATCTCAAATAACATTGAAATTAAGCTATCACATGGTTTGCTCAGAGAATCGCATAATTTATTCTCAACTCACTTCCCAAAAATGAGTGGTTTTCTCCATTTAATTGCCTTCTTTCTCCTCTCACGTCGTCTTCATGGAGTATTTCTTATGATGCTGAAATTCTGTTTTTATGTATATTTAATGCGGGTGGTTCGAGTGGTGGGGTTGTTTTGTGGTGTATGTTTGTGTGTGAAAAGAATTTTAATTAATGTAATGTGTGTACTTTTTCACTGTCTGAACACACAAATATGATACTTTTCTGCAATATAGTGTTTCTTTGGCTGTTGTATAGTTAATGAAATGGCATTTTTCTTTTTGTCTCTCCTCAGAAATGGTTGATGCCATGAAGAAGGTCGCTTCCATGGATTTGGAGCTGACGGTGGAGGAGAGGAATTTGCTGTCGGTCGCCTATAAGAATGTGATTGGAGCACGACGAGCATCTTGGCGCATAATCACCTCTATTGAGCAGAAGGAGGAGAACAAGGTGAGTGTGCTGTTCATCTCTCTCATTCTCTCTCTCTCTCTCTCTCTAGTTTTCTCTCGCTCTCTGAGCGCAAGTGAGAGAGTCCTGATTTACTTCCTGTCGATGGTCCTGATTGTGATTTATTGATGTTTTTTTTCCCCGATTGTCCAGGGCGCCGAGGAGAAGCTGGAGATGATTAAGAACTACCGCGGACAGGTGGAGAAGGAGCTGCGCGACATCTGCTCGGACATCCTGAATGTGCTGGAGAAGCATCTCATTCCGTGCGCCACCACGGGCGAGGGCAAGGTGTTCTACTATAAAATGAAGGGTGACTACCATCGCTACCTGGCGGAGTTCGCCACGGGAAGTGACCGCAAGGAGGCCGCTGAGAACTCCCTGGTGGCCTACAAGGCGGCCAGCGACATAGCAATGACAGATCTTCCACCAACACATCCCATCCGACTGGGTCTGGCGCTGAATTTCTCCGTGAGTACACCACCATTGACGTTGAGCGATTGGGCGACAATGTGCGCGTGTCATTGAACTCTTTGTTGGCTTTTATTTAGGTATTCTACTATGAAATTCTCAATTCGCCCGACCGTGCCTGCCGCCTAGCAAAAGCTGCATTTGATGATGCCATTGCGGAACTTGACACCCTCAGCGAAGAGAGCTACAAAGATTCAACGCTAATAATGCAATTATTAAGAGACAACCTCACACTTTGGACATCCGACATGCAAGGAGACGGTAAGGAGGAAATCTTATCGGTATTTCGATGGGGGAATTGACACAAAATGTATTTGTGTACTTGCAGGTGAAGGTGAACAGAAGGAGCAAATTCAGGACGTCGAAGATCAGGACGTATCGTAATTTAGGTGTTTTAATCCTAATTAATTTTTATTATAAGATTAATAAAAAAAAGGAAGAAAAAGATAAAAAATAAATTAATAGTATAAGCATTAAGTAAGTGTAATTGTTTCATCTTAATAAACACAACAATCCAAAATCTAATATAGAAATTGTGAGGAAGGAAAATACATTTGTGAAGAAGAAATATTCATAACGCGCAGAGTAATGGAATAAAATGGAATACAACATTTTTGAGTATAAAGGAAAAAAAAACAGATAAATTGCAAACACATCATCAGCATAACAATATTTACTATTAAATTAAAAGAATGGCAGAGAGCATAAAAGAAGTGTGAAGAGAGAGGACACATTGCATTACAGACTTTGTAATAACTGCTAAGGAATGAAAAAAAATATAAATATTACTTTGAATTACGGCATAATGATGGATAAATATATATTACTTACACAATTATTAAAGGTTATTTTTCATGAATGAATTTGTAAAATTAATAGTGACAGCTTATATAATATTGAATGAAAATATAATGTTAAAATCATCAGTGGTAGTGAAAAAAAAACAGTCAGATAGTAAAGAACGCGCAGAGAAATCAGGCAGTCAAATTTGGTATTATATAAATTATGAAAAAATGAATAAAGAAGGATGGAAAACAATGGTAGACAGAGACTTTGGTGGATTATAAAAGGACAAAAACGCATTGCTACTATTGTTAGGTTACAATGAACTTAAGAAATTAACAGTGGTATATGTCACAGTATATACTAAATTAAATATAACGTATTGAGTATAATGGATGAAGAAAAAAAAACAAGTAGAAAGCATTGCCGTCTCAATTTTTTAATTTATATTCTTTCTTAGTTGATAAACTGTAATCTTTGCAAATATGTTTAGCGCAGAAGAGAGAAGAAGAAGAAAAATGATGAAGCAAAAATGGCGTGAATAGGAAACTGAAGCATTATAATGTAACACACAGGAGATGAAAAAGCAGTGAAAACATTGTAGATTACATTGTTTATTTCGTAACAAGTAAAATATTTCTCTTAATATTTAAACAAGAAGCAAAAGAGAAAAAAGGAGGTGAAAAAGAAGTATTGCTCTTCATTGCAATATTTGAAGAAGAAAAAATAATGATAAACACTCCTGAAATGTCGACTTATTGCATTTCATCTCAATCTTCAAGCGGTATTTTACATCTATTTACTTTGTAAGGGACATTTTTTCTTTGATTCAATCTTTCACAATCTTATCATACAAAATACACACACACACACAAACAAACTCTTATAGCGAAGGGACAAAAGATATACAGAGGATGATAATAAGGATACAATTTTTAAATATTAATTATCTTTAACAAGTGAGAGAAAATGCTTTAAAACACGGTACATTGCCAGAATTTCAATTAAAAACATTTCCTAAATATATTTTGTGTATGTTTTCTTGTTCAACAGACTTAAGAATACACTTTTTTTACATCTAAGGGAAAAAAAAGATTAAATACAGAAGAAATAACACAACCTCTCAAGAGAAAAGACACAATATTTCAAGTGAAATCTTCTTAAGCACAAGAATCAATTTTTACATAGAAGAGATTTTCAGTGTATTTTAACCTTAAGAGAAAAAAAATGAATGCGAAAGTGGAAAAAACGTATTGATGAAAAACCATTAAAAAATAGAACAATTTATCAAGAGCTTGTCGAATTTTTAAGAGAAGAAAAAGATGGTTAAGGAAAACAGACACTTTTCAATGGACGACGGAGAAGAAAAACTTACGATTCTACTCTTAAGTTATTTAAAAAAAAATATATCTTTTTCTAACATGTTTGAGGAAAAACTTTATGTGAGGAAAAAATGTACCATAATTCCTTCGGAAATTCGTGTATCTTTTTATTTTAACTCTTGTTTATTCCATCTGTTATTTATTTTTGTTACGAACGGCCCCGCGATTGACGAAAGATGCGAGAGAGCCAATATCATTCCCACTCTACGGATCGCGGCTGATTGAAGAGCTCGATGGCGATGCGCGCATCCTGAGTTTGGGGCCAACGAATCAGTAAAGAAATCTAATGAATATAAGAGTATGATTTTTTGCGAAGATGACTCTGAGAATGACTAAATTTTAAAGTGGAAAATAAAAATGTATGATAAATCACTTTCACAGTGTGTGATTGTTTTTCTTTTGCCGGCATAATTTTTGTGCTCTGTTTTGCAATTGGCATTTTGCTTTGAGTTTGCTTTTCAGTTTTGATAAGAGAGGAGAAAAAGGATTTGCAGGACGCGCCCTTCGCACGACCAAACACACTGTCTCTTATGCAACCTCAAACAATATTGTAAACTCTTGATATTGATAGCTGAATTTTAGGCCAACTGCATTTATTTTACACTTTCATGTCCGACGTCTTTCTTTCGAATAAATATATTTGTAAAACTTTAAAATACGATGTGAGTTTCAATTGAAGACTTTTTGTCATGGTTCGCTGGTGGTTTTCTATCATCTTTCTTCGCTTCCTGCGCAACTTGGAAGCGAAGACAATGAACAGGTATTGAATCTAAAAACCAATAATTGCCAAAAACTTGTCCTCTTATCAAACTATTTTATTGACGAGCGTGTCTTACAGTTTATTTCTCATGCGCATTACGAGCTCCTCGAGACGCTTTCCCAGGACTGTGTTGCCCTGCGCCGTCCTCGTTTGCTCCACAATCGCCAGCACTGCGAGCAGAGCCTTCGCGTCCAGCAGCGCCTTGTTCTTCGTCACGAGATTCCAGAGATTCACCGCCAGTGTGAACTGCTTGTCTCGCGTGATATCCGTGCTGCGCACGATGCGCGTGAACAGCTCCAGCGCGAGATTGCTCTGCACCTTCAGCTGCCCTTTATCGGCCAGGAGCTTGAGATTGATCAGGATCTTGTCCGCCACTTTGCTACTCAGTCCATCGATTTCGGCAATGAATTTGGGATCGGAACCGTACAGCTCGTCGTTGGACACAATCCCGGGAATGTGATAGGGATAAGCGTCCTGAGCAGCTGTCGAGAGCATGTCCAGGATGCCTAAGTAGATTGTGATGAGCGTGGCTTCGCACTGGCAGTGAATCTCATCAAATTGGTACAGATTCAGCTTGTCCAGCAGCAGTCTGAGGAGGAAGAGAACGCCTCTGTCCGGACTGTCGGGCACGACAATCAGTGTGGACAGGAGAGATCCCACGTAGCTGATGAGATAGGCTTCGTTGCTCTTCGGCTTGCCGTCCACTTCCACGACAGCTGGGAGGTCAGGAAGCAGCTCTATCGCCGCCTCGAGGCAAGAATCCGCCTGGCCAAGGCACAGATTCTGCAGGGCCACGCTGGCAGAGACCAAATAGAGGTCCATGCGCGTGGCCACGGCCACAATGCTGGGAATCGTGATGAAGCAGTAGGCGGCACAGGCGCGCACGAAAGCCGCCGTCTTCTTGGAGTGCTGGCCGCGGATCATCCGACGCGTCTCCATGGCCAAATTGTTGACACAGTGGATAAGAGTGGCATAGACAACGTCCAGATTGAGGAATGCCGCTCTGGCGTCGACGTAGAAGGCCAGTTGCGACTCAAAGTCCCTCCCAAAATCCACTTGCTTTATCATGTGGCTTATCAGGCCGCCGATCTGGCGTCTCTCGTCGTCCACCGTGAGCGCACTGCAAGGGAAAACGCCATGAATCTCACGACAAGAGCAAACATCTGCCTGAAAACTCACTTGACAGAGTCATTGAGAACACGACAGATGTACATCAAGGCATTTGTGGTCACCGGATCATTGGTCTTTGCCTCGATCTTATCTCTGTACACCATCATGATGTTCCTGCAGACGTCCAGCTTCACGGACTCCTTCTGGAAGAGGTCCAGGACGGGCATGAAGTTGTCCTGAAAGTACAAAATGTGAGAAATACTGCACACAATCTGTCGAAGTTCACTCACAAGTGTCAGCAAACCCTCCAGATCCTTGCTATTGAACACAATCTTATCCACAACTGCCTGCAATTCGCCATAGTGCTGCTCGAAGACCCGATTCTGGCCCATGTGCATCAACAAGTCCTCCAGAATCGCCGCCACGTGACTCAAATTATACGCAGTGCTCGTCAGTTCAGCCCAGGATTCCAGGGCGAGGATAAACTGTCCGGGAAGCTTAATCTCTCCAATGAGACGCATCGCGTCCGCCCACACTTGTTGTCTTTCCTCGGGCAATGTCGTGGCCATCACGAGGCAAGAGCCCAAGGCGCGCAGCAGCTGCGCTTGCGGAAAGCCCTCGGACAGGGAATTGTCGCTGATGGCGAGCAGGAGCTTCACGGCGCGTCTAGAGATGAAGTTGCAGCTAAAGGACGTCATGACGGAATTGAGCAAAAGGCCGTTATTCTTCTGGGCCAGACACTTGTCCAGGATCTGATCGAGAACTGCGTCGGGCGTGTGAACAGCCATTCCCTGCATGATCCAGTCCAATGCGGGAATGTACAGGCTGAGATATGTGGGCATTTCCAGGCGCTGTCGCGTCAATTCGTTCTTCAGCCGCGGACTGAACATCGTGTGGTAGACCGTGAAGAGATCCGTGAGGTTCTCACTGATGTACGCCCTGTCGGACGTGACAGTCATGCCCACGCGGCAGAGATAGCAGCGCGCATAGATCGACACGAGCGGATCTCCGATGCCGCGAATGATGCGCGTGAGTCTGAGCAGAGCCAGATTGAATTCCGTGGACGTGAGGAAACTGTAGCACTTGAGGATGGCCGCCTCCACGTAGAAGCGCGGCAGAAGCTCCCTGATCGATGCTATCTTGTAGAACCAGTTGAGGCACGTCTCCTTGGCCATTTCGGGCACCATGTCTGGCGTAAAGTTGTCCGGCAGAGCAGTGGGATTTGTGCTGCCAGGCCTGATGTAGCCAGCCTTGACCTTCAGCCTGTCGTACACCAGCTTCCCGAAGATGTCCAGGATGTCCGTGATGAGCACAAACTGACTTGGGTAGAACTGCATGACCGAAGTGTCGGCCAGCAGCTTCGAGCATTGAATGGCAATCTTCAGCGCTGTCACGCGGTGATCGTTGTTCCACGCCTGAACCAGTTCCTGATTCAGCTGCTCAATCCTCGACACGTACTCCTGCTGAGTAACGTCCTGCATATGATAGGAGCCGTCCGCGAAGTCATCCAGCTGCTCCAGGCGATGCTTCACCTTCTCAGTCATCGTCGTCTGAGCCTTGACTGCAAAGAAAGTATCAAATAACATTTGCCTTCGACTCCTTCCACCTCTTCCTCAGATCACTCACTGGATTCGCTGCCTGACACGAAGCTAGTCACAATGGACAGACGCTCAGCAGTTGTATACTTGCTGAGGATCGCCGATCTGCGGGAACTCCACGGTTCTATGGCTTCCTCGAGAGGAGAATCCATCTTTTTGCCACCGCTAGAGCTGAGTTCATACTCAGCTGCTATCTGAGACAGTGGGTCAACCTCCAACGAAGCCTGCCTCGCGAATTGGCTTAGAGGATCCGATCCGTCAAACGCCTGGCTCAGTGGATCCAACATTCCCAAGCCAGTGCCGCCGGAAGACTTCTCTCTTCTCGTTCCTTTGCTCTCCAACACCTGAAATTGCCACAAATATCGAATCACAGAGCACTCTTTCTCGAATCTGGGAGCCTACCGTCACAGTCATCTGTCGCAGGGGGTGGATTTCCGAGGCATCTTCCCGGGCGAAAGCATTCACTTCCAGCGGCACTTTCTCGATGCAATGCCTGTGAAAATACGCACAGAATCAAGCAAAAAGCTCTACCACAAAAGCCTCCAGGCTTTCACTCACCAATCTGTGGTCATTTTGAGAGTGATTGTCGCGGAAATGACTCTCAAACTAGCATTTCTTCTGCACCCTTCTCGAGGTCTGTGTTTGTTGACGTTTTGGCACAAAAAGTGACATTTCCGGCCGCGTGACGTCATCAGTGGCGATGTTTTTCGATGAAAGGTGTTACTTTGAGGAGGATTCCGTCCAGTTCACATCTCTTCCGACTTCCTCCTCAAATTCCTGATTATCTCTGGGCCAATTGCACTGAAGTTCTCCTCCAGAGTAGTCTGTGTGTTGTTTTCCAGCTGGTGATTATGGTGAAAATAAGTGCCTTGCAGTGAAAGAGTGATAAATTGCTGATTTGCAGATCTTTGGCGGAAAAAGCTTTGAGGCAGGAAAAAGCGCATTGACGGTGAGAAGACTCAAATTACCAGTCTTTTAGCTGGGCGATGGGGAAGGTAATGTGCTCTGCTGATTGATTGGGAGGGTCAAGGAGAGAGGCTAGAGTCAATTTGCCGTGTCTTTCAGTAAGTCAGAGTGAAATCCATCTATTTTTAGCTCCTCCTGCATTCTTTGTCACTCAGAGCAACAAACACAGCAATTGTTATGGGAGTTTTCCTGTCGATCGCGACACAATTAATTCAATTGCTCTCTGTTTTTATTGGCCTTTTCAGCTCGAGTGTCGCGATGGCGTACGCGTGCAACATCAAGTTCACAAATCCCAATGATGTCGTGCATCCCGGCGAGAGATTGATGGGCGAAGTGGAGCTGACACTGGACAAGCCGAGGAAGTACAAAGGTATGCAGAAGTCCTGCTGTCCGGGGGAATCCATGGGAGCTCGCCCCCGCGACAGAGCGCCCCATTATCAGCAAATCACCAGTAATTAGCATTAACGCACTTTGGCTGATATTTCTTGTGACTCAGCCAAGTTATCTCTCTTTTGGGGTCCTTATCGAAGTTTCTGGGGCGACAAAATGCCCCTAAAATGATTGGCATTCTTTGTGAATTATCCCCTAATTTCCCGGGTGACTCAACACTTCACATGCTCGCGAGAGAGAAACCCTCGCTGGCCAGTGGAAAGTCGCTGTCGCAAGAGTGAAAAAATTGGGTAACACGATAGGGAAACCCACGCAATTTGCAGACACAGCGTTTTGAGGGTGAAACTTTCTTTATATTCCCTGCCAATCTTGCGGCCAATTTATCTTCAAGCCTTCGGAAGCTGAGCTGGAGTGTGAGTCATCATAGAAGTGTATAGTTATTTCCAAGAAGTCTTTGTCTCCATCGCTCGTTGGTCAGGCAAATGGCACATGATCTCTTCATTTCAGTTGTCTTCCATCGATTCGTCTTTTACAACTTTCTGGGCATAAATGACGCGGATGATCTTTCCATTGCTCCATAAATTACATTTTACTGTTTTCGTTTGCGCGTAAAGACCTTGATAAAGAAAATCCCCTCTGAATTTCTTATCTTCGGCACATAGGAGGCATTTTATCTTATCGGAGCATGATTTGATTAGAAAATCATGTTGCTGTTTACATAATAATGCACACACAAAATAATGATTAGAAAGAGAAATCACAGCAAAATCTTAAATACCATATTGAAACCAAGAATAGTTTAAGATTTAAATAGCAAGATAAGGATTAATTCAGATATTATCGCTGTGTGATTAGAATGATTGCTTCCTATGTGTTGGAATCTTAGGAAGATTTGGTTGTTAAACAACTTTGTCGCGTGAAAAACATTCTCGGACGTTCAATTTGGATAATATTTTTACTCAAACGAGTGTGTTAATTTGAACATTCAACAGCAATTGAGCTGCTTTAGAGTCCAATTTGATAGCTCAATTTGTATGGAACTGAATTGGTATTTTGCTTTGCCTTTCAGAGCCTTTTGAGCACATTTTCTTTTTGATTTTTCCTTTATGGTTTTCTTAATATTCATCGTAAGAATATGGATTTTTTGTTATTACACATAAGCTGGTAAATAAGCAGAATTCCATTCTATTGTGTCAAATCTTGAAGCCGCGTTTCTTCATTTTTCCATGAAAACGATTCGTATGCTAAGCACATTGACTGAAAGATCAATATTTGTCGTTTCTTCACGGTGCTTCGTTACTCTTTCCAGGCATTTACGTTGTGATCACGGGCTATTCCGAGACTGAGTGGCGCGAGAGGGAGAAGACAGAGGTGAATGGGGAGACGAAGAAGAAGCGCGAGCACTACAGGGGCCGTCTGGACTACTTCAACGAGATCTTCTATCTGTTGGCGCAGTCGGACGGTATTCCGGTGGAGCTGCAGACGGGCCGCCACAAGTTCAACTTTGCCTACACACTGCCGGCCGTGGTGCCGCCGTCCTGGACGGGTGAATTCGGCCATGTGACGTACCGCGTAAAGGCGGTGCTGGATCGGCCGTGGCGCCCAGACGAGACGCACAAGAAGAACTTTATCGTCATGACGCAGTTCACGGTGACGCAGCAGCTTCTGTATCCGCTGAAGCTGCAGGAAGTGGAGCAACTGTGGTGCCTTCCGTTCCACACGATGCCCTTCACAGTGGAGGCTGAGGTGGCGAAGACGGGTTTCTGCCTTGGCGAGGGCGTTCCTGTGATTGTGAGGATACAGAATGAGAGCAATTCCACCATCCATGAGATCAAATTTCAGCTGAGACAGGTGAGAAAGGAATTGTTTAGTCAATATGTGTCTTTCTCAGAGAGTCTTGAGTATTGCACTTCTCAAATTTCAATTAAATATCATTTATTTCCACTATTACATTAAGTTTTCGCTCAATTTCAACTTAAAGCTGTGGAGATAGCTAACAAAAGGAGTGTCTCCCCACAGAATTGCTGTGAATTGAGACGAAAAACTGGTTTTCAATCAAGTCAATTCGCAATTTGCACTGGATTATTTGATAGCTGGAATTAACTTCTAGCGATCTGCATGTGAATTGAATAACCATCTCTAATTATTGTTTTTGTTAAATCGGGTTGTTAACCTCTGATCTCTTATCTATCAAACATTGATTACATCTCAAGGGAATCAAGAGATCGAGCTTAAGATTTTACCATCGTCATAGTAATTATTGGTCGCAAAAGACGTTACATTGCAAATCAGCACTCAAGTGAACACTTATTCCACTCCTTTATGTCTCTTGCTAAAATTGGAATTGGAATTAATCTTGCGCGTTGTTTTGCAGATCATCGCTTTCTATAGCATGATGCCGCGGCGGCAGAAGAAGGAGACGATTAATAAGATGGTGGACATCCGGTGTAAGGTGATGGACTCGCGGAAGATTGGCCTGTTTCAGCGCACGCTGATGCTGCCCCAGTTGCCGGTGTCCTTTGAGTCCGCCACAGATCTCCTGGGCATTGCGTATGAGGTGCGCATTGAGGTGAAAGTGGGTGGATTAAACAAGAACCCCGTGGTGAGGATTCCCATCTTCGTGGGCAGCAGCTCAACGGAGCCAAACGCACCGACAGCGTCGCCCTCGCCGCCCATTTATCCCAGTCTGCAGCACCATCAGAGCTTCTCCAGCGGCAGTGCCATTCTCGACACTTCCCTGTGGAATGTAAGCCACCAAATGGACATCAGCGCCACGTCAGACATCTCCAATCCCAGCATCAGTCTGTCCAGTGACGCCACGGGCGTGAATCCCAGTGCTCCGCCGCCATCGTATGACGACGCCGTGTTGGCAAACTTGTCCTTCGCAGAGCACCAGAAGCAGGAGATTTCCCAGAAGTCATAGGCGAAGAAGAGCAGAGAAATGGCACGTTAACAGGGAATGCAAATTTCGGCCAAAGTATTTCTCAACGCGGAACAAAGAGATGAACAACTTTTCGTACTATTGAACTTTGCACAAAAATGTACGGTTTTTGTGAGTGTTTTTTTGTAACAATGAGATGAATTCTATCTGATAGGAGAACCACTTTTTCCTTATCGTCATGTGTGAACACATCCGTTAGTCCTGGAGTGTGTGCAAGAGTTTGTTGCGATCAACAGGGGGTAAAAGAGATCACTTTGTCTCTAGCCATCGATTTGATAACATATATTTTCGGTTTTACTGTGGATTCGTGTACAATTTTCTTTGCCGCGTCTCTTTTTTAGTGGTATTTTAGGGAGTTTTCGAGGGGTGTTTTAAGTATGGATCCTGAAATAGGTGAGGAGAGAAGAAGCTTGGGACATTCTATAGCTCTTCTCGATCCCGAGGGATATTTGCCCGCTGAAAGGGAGGAGTTCTTTGGAAATTTCTACTTCACGCGATCGACATACTTGGCCGGCGATCAAGTGCAATGCGAAGTGAGATTCACGGACTTGAGTGATTTGACCATTGTCAGTGAGTATTTAACAGTCGGGATTGCGTGATTCCTTGCTAATTATGGCTTTCCTTGCAGCCATCCGTGGTCGCGTGCTGGGATTCTGCATATATAAACGATCCAGAGCCATATGTTTCTCACCTCCTCAGCCCAGAGAGATTCTCGATGATCTCGTGTACAGCTACGGTCGCGAAGGAGATCCTGTCGTAGACTTGGAACCAAGAACGTTCAGAATCTATATCAACTATAGACTGCCGCGATACTTGCCGAGTTCCTTCGTGCACACCCGCCAGCGCATCTACTACGTCATCCTGCTCGAGGGCAAGAGACGCGATGGGAGCTCAGTATACACCTACTCGAGGTTCCAGGTGGTGAGCAAAACGCTGATGCTGATTGGACTTCAGCCGCCTGGCGAGGTATCGCAGGCCGTCAGGTACTTAGGGCTTTTCCGATATATGAAGATTAAGCTGATGTTGCCCAGCAAGGCGGTCATGCGAAATACCGAGTTCTTCACCATCTTCACCATAATTCCGCGCTGCAAGGATGAGATTGAGGTCAAGAGGCTCAACTTCTCGCTCATGCGCGTCATGAGATACAAGCTCAAATGCAGAGGCCTGCAAGAGTTCGACGAAATAGTTCATCGCATTAAAAAGGTCTACTCATACTATGTGACGCACTTATTTGTGAACAACAGGCAGCCCGAGTGGTTCTTCCGGGGACGCATCATCATCCCGCACGATTGTATGCCCACTTATATGCCCGACGAGTTCTTGCGCATTACTTACAGGCTGAAGGCAGAACTGGAAGTTAAATACAAATTCATAACGTCAACCCACACCCTTGAGATTCCGCTGGACATCTGCTCGGAGGAGCAATTGGATCCAACTCATTTTCCCTTTTGGGACATGGTCGATTTCGACCAACAAAACCTCACGCTGCCAAATATTGAGGTGGTGGATGTGGATGAAGAGGCCGAGAAGCAGGCCAGAATCAACCAGTTCGACGCGGAAGGCGTGAGGGCTGTGACGCCGGATGCGGCCAGGCTGCAGGAGGCGCGCTATCCGGCCATGGAGCACGAACAGCCTGGCCGGATAGAACCCGAAGACGGCGAAGTAGAAGGCGCAGTAGGCGGTGTAGTCGAGAGAGCGGTGTAGAGCCATTCAGGAAAAGCGTGCGCACGAGAGAGATGGCCAGAGCCGCTTGGCGAGCGGAGAGTGAGCTTGAGGGTGACGTCATGGCTGGAAGGTGGGGAAGAACGGCTCTCGATAAAAGTAAAAGTGCCATGAAATACCAAGCAGAGTGTCTGTAAACATTTCATCAGGAACCCGCCATGAATCTGCCCTAAAATCCCAAATTGTATCATTATTGCATGCGAGTAAAGTGGATTACCTCAAACCCTGGCTCTCGATTTCTCTGCCCAATCTTCCGCAGTGCGTGTGAAGAGACTTTGGTGACTTGGAATATAAGTGAAAGTTTTTATTTTGGTGCGTGAGCGTGAACAGGTGGAATTATGGTCAACTGTGACATCAAATACAGCTCTCCGAAGGGCATTTACTATTCTGGACAGACGCTCTCTGTCCAGATTTCGCTGCGATTTGAGAAACCCAAGAAATTCCGGAGTAAGTCTTCCACACAAGTCCACTTCTGCCAGTCATTTCCAGCGTTTTCTCTCTCTCTCTCCCTTCCTCTCAAGGCATTTACGTGGTCTTTCGCGGCAGAGCCAAATGCTTCTGGGCGAGGCGCCATGGCACGCACAGGAGACGCCAACGGGAGGCCTTCGAGGCGGAGGAGACGTACGTGAACACCACGAGCTATCTGCACGGAAGCGAGACGGCCGAGCCCGTGGAATTGCCAGCTGGCGTGCACAACTTCACAGTGGCGTGCGCTCTGCCCGCACAGCTGCCCTCGTCCTTCGAGGGCGATCACGGCAGCATCAGGTGATGTTCCTAGAGCCGCAAAGCGTCGTCTCTCCTCATTACCTTGCTCATCTGTTCAACAGGTACAGCGTCAAAGTGGTGGTGGATCGCCCTTGGAAATTCGATCACACGTTCGAGGAAGCTTTCACGGTGCTGAAGCAATACGACTTGAATTTTGACTCATCGCTCAGAGTGAGTATTAATCACAACAGTGGCGTAGTGTTACAGAACTCCTTTAGCCCCTTTTCTTAAATCATTGATCACGATGAGCATTAATTTGATAATTAGAACGAATATTTTGGGGTATGATAACAGGATAAGATTGGAATTGGTTAAGATTGCATCAGCCAGAATTGGCCTTGAGAGGTCAAAGCTCGATAGTGTTGCTTTTCTTAAAGCACTTCTTGTACTAATTGGAATTAAGATAATCAATTTGGCTAAGCATCATTAAATTATCTCATGGGATTTCAATGTTATTTGTTCAGAAATGTATAAGAATATCTTTATATGAAAAAGTGGACAAAAGTGGTTTAGTTTTTCTTAGTCACCGAGAGTTCTTGTCTTTCTGCCAAGCATAATTTTTTTCACTCTTCTTTGTCTGGATTTTTCTTTCCTAAAACTCACTGAACAACATTTTAAATTGCAATGTTTTGTGTTGTCAATTTGCAAAGATGTGAGATCAACAAGTGTTCTTATGAGTTTGTTCTCTTCACATTTTGCAGAGATTCAGATTATTTCCAAGATTATCCCTGATATTAATGCTGTTGACATTCATTGAGAAAATACATCTCATGATTTCACAATATGAAGAGAGAATTTTCGTTAATGCATCATTGAATTCTGTAGTAGTGTTTTTTTTTTATTCTTACTACGCCACTGAGAGGCATTGAAATTCTTCAGGAAATAAATATGGATTTATGCTTACATTTCAGCTGCCGTTCGAGCGACAGAAAGTCTCCACGTTCTGCTTCTGGCCATTCAGCACAGGTCCCATGCAGATCACCGTGAAGCTGCCGCAGACGGGTTTCGTGCCCGGTCAGTCGGTGCCCGTGCTGGTGGACATCGTGAACGACTCCAATGTGTGCATAAACTATTTTCGGCTGCTGCTGAAGAAAGAAGTGCTGTACAATGCCACCACGCCGAAGCCCAAGACGCGCCGGCAGAAGGAGATTGTGGTGAACAACCGCGTGGAGAAGAAGGCGCCTGGATCGGGCAGCACGCAAGCTCAGCTATCGCTGGAGATTCCCTCCGTGCCGCCTACGAACATCACGCACAATCGCGTCATCCACATCACGTACGAGCTGAAGGTGTGCGCCAAAACGTCGCGCTGCAGCGACGATGTGGAGGTGCGAGTGCCCATCGTCGTGGGCACAGTTCCCCTGCTCGCGCCTCCGCACATGACATCCCCCGGGCCAGGAGGATTTGGGGGACCAGGAGCGCCCGGTGGATCGGCGATTAATCCCAATTTGCGTGAGTTTCCCACTGACTTTTAATCCGCTCACGCCCACGCGCTTTATTCCATTTGGAAATCCTATTACGGGAGACGTGATTTTCACGAGAGATGCGCGAATTCAGTGAGCTTGTTTGCCATTGAATCACTAATGAGTGTGTAATGAACTGCTTTGGAGGTTCCCGAATCAACACCATTTGCAAGAAGGTCGCATGCATTTAGCATAAATTTGTGTGTTCACACGGTTCATACATTGTCACTATTGCTGCATTTAGTGTCTATTTGAGGCAATATCGAGCAGCTTAATTTGCATACGCCAATATTAGCTGACAGAGAGCATTAATTGGGGGGTCTTGTGTTGAAATTCTTGTGTGATTCATCGACTTGAAGACACTCCAATTGCGTCACTATTGGAGTATTTCCTCCTGATTTTATCTCTCGCGCCATTAATTAAAAAAAAGAACTCCTTCTATTTCTGCCATTCCCTCTCATTTCACAGCAGAAGAATTAAAATGCGTTGGCGGGGGAATAAATTTTGCAAATTATCTCATTATGAGGAATGATAATTAAAAATTGTGTGGTCGGCACTTGAACCATAACGAGCACAAATCTGAGTGCTCGAAATGAATTCCCGGGAAAAGGATTGACTCCGGGGGAAAACCATCGCACAAATATGCAGGAAATGCAAGCATGGCTGCATTTGCATTTTCATTTTCTCAGAAATTTAATATCCTCGCATTAAATATGAGGATTGCAGAGTGGGAGAGAGCTCTTAAGGATCATCTCGCGTGGCAATGGTGGAATGACAATTGCGAGGCTGAAATCACTGCACAAACTGTGCGATGGTCTTAATTGAAAAATCGATAGATTGAGATAGTACCAATCTCGATGGCGCACCACGAGTTCATGCAATAAAATCAATCAATTTGCCTCGTAAAATTGTTCCATCATTGAGTTATTTGCAAGAGCTTATCACCCTGGTGCTTCCCTAATTCCTTAAGTGACAATACAAGCGCTTTCAATTTTCTCTCAATCCCTCCCGAAAACCGAGAGAGATAAGTAATCGATTTTGAATGAGTAATAATCTTTCATCCTCAACGACCGACCATGAGACACGATGATTTTGCTCTTATGTCGTACTTTTCTTCATCCTCAAATTTGTTGCTTCCCTTTTTAATTAAAATATTCCACGTGAATAAGAATCCAGACGCTTCTCTTCGTCTCACGAGGAGACTTTATGTGAAAACAAGGGGAAAATGTTAATTTTAATTGACATTGACCCTTCAGATGCTTCAAAATTCAACAACTCAGCACTTCACGACGCATTTAATTATTCACTACACCTCTACAAGTATTTAATTAGCATAAAGCCGAGGGATGGGCGAACTTTTCACCTCTTTCCCTGTTTTTCACACGCATGAATTTCATCCCAAGTGCGAATTCCTAACGAGAACGTTTGGGGCAAATCATTGTGATGGAGATTATATTAAATCTGTGATGGCGCATTTGTGATGAAGTGACATATTTTGCACTATTATGCGCAAATTTTTATTATAATTGGCGCATGTGGGAAGTTGAACGTGTGTTCGCTTCTGGGAAAATTGTATTTTAACGAGGGTTTAATGATTATACGGAAAACAGGATGGAAAATGCAGATGCAATTTGATATTCAGGCAAATGTTTGCACACATAATATATTTTAATCAGAAGATTCCAGTTAATCAATTTTATATTTATTGTATCAGTAAAATCATATTTATTCAGGATTCAATCTCATTCATTTTGATTTTCCAAATAGCACATAGATACAATTTATTTGACGTCAGAGCGAAATAATATCGTTTGATGTGCAAAACTGCTGAATAAAGTTCAGATAAATCATTGAAATGCTCTAAAATTGATTAACTCACCCTATAAAGTTTGTGGCATGAAATCCAAACTTCTTTTGACTATTTCAGCTCATTTTTTACTATGTAACTTCTCTTTATGACATTTTTATGTGTGCAAGATGCTAGAAAAATAACGCTTAATATTGATTTCAAAGTTTCGCATTGATTAAGAGTATGAAAATTCACTGAAAGCTGCATTAAAGATTCAGCACCGGGAAATCAGATTGTTCATAAGTCTGATAACTAGCAAACTCTTTTTACTTCCCATCCAGAATGGTGGGAATCTGAGCTCGAAAGTAGGTCATTTTGAGGATAAACCACATATTGAAAATCCATATTCGGTGCTGCAATTATTACAGACTTCATAGAGTTGCAGCAAACACTGAACTGCGAAAGTTTGCAATTCAATTATATTCCCTGAATGGAAACTTATTGCAAAATCCATTCATCTTGTTTATTAGGTGTGAAATGAAACTCAATTTCCAGTTTAATTGCTTTCCCGGAATTAAATCTGCATGAGCTCACTTAACGAAACCGGGCAAATTTACACAGAAACCAATCTTAAGATGGGAGAGAGACAGAGAGTTGAGTTTTGCGAAGAGCCTGAAGGATGTGTAGTTGATGTGAACTGTGGCTGGAAGATTAGCCTTCCGCCCACTAAAGTTCACATGCTGTCGTGTGATTTGATCTGTGTGCGAGTTTTGAAGAGCTTTTACCCAACTTTCCCCCCTTTGCAGCCCCGCCGTCGTACGAGGAGTGTATCTCGGGCAAGTACGACATCAAGGAGGACGACGATGACAAGGGCAGCACGAAGCCCTTCGTCCCCATGTACCCCGTGTACAGATACGACGTGGCGCCACAGTCCAGCGCAGCGACGCCACAATCTCCGCCGCCGCAGACGTTCTACCCAAATCCCCAGCTTGCGCCGTATCCAGTGGCTCAGCCCACGGGCTGCAGCGTCCCGCTGGTGGGATTTAGCCTCCCGCCCAAATCCCCGCCCAAGGAGAAGACCACCTAAGCACTCGGAAATGGATGGCTCTGTCGTCATATATCCGCATAAATTAGCATCACTTTATTGATGGCTTTCACGGTGGATTTCGCTACTCAATATTCCCTCTCTTTTTCACCACGCGCAGAGGGCGGAATTCCTCCCCAATATCAATTTCACGTCGTGGAGTGAAGATTCTCAGGCGGTGCGGGGTGAAATGGCAGTTGAATGTATGCAAATAATACTCTTTTATATGGACAGTGTTGCAATATTGCTCTGCGGAGAGAATTTCAATAAAAGCACCATTCCATGTGGATTGAAAGACATAAAATGCTGCCTTTTGTGCTCGTCACTTGCATCATTTCCATGCAATTTTCCATAGATATTTCCACTGTGCACCAGTCAATAAAGTGTGAAATTGATGCATTCACGTGGGATGATGGATTGGAGAGAGCTGTGAAACACCATTCGATTGGCAGTGCGTGATAGCGAGCGCGCAATAGTCCTGGGACAACTGCACACACACACAGGGCACAAAGGACATCCTGTGCCGCCTCAGCGAAATCCAGAGGTGAAATCAGGGAAAAATCGCTATGCACTCACCTGACGCCTTCATCAGCATTTCCCCCAGTCTTTGCCATTAATTCCGCATTCTCACCACGTCAGTCATTATGACAGCGATTCAGAGCCTCCGGCAGTGATTTATTGTCTCTGGGGAGGCGTTTTAATTAAAGTCCTTGCACCGAAATTCTAATTCTCCACCTCGAGGGCTTCTCAAGAGCTCCTATTGACGTGAATGTGCTTCTCCCCCATCCTTTCGCGCCGCACTACATTGTTTCTCCGATAATCCCTGGTCCTTTTTCTCCACATTCACACTTCTTTTTCCTCCATTCGCACACCAGATGAATCTCACCATTGTCTTCGGGTGGTGTTGTGCAAAAAATTGAATAGAAATGATGAAACGATGAGAAGTCAAGAGGACAAGTAAATTTTCCGGACAATAAAACGCTTTCAATCACCACACAATTCGTGAGATAATTTTTTCGCAGAACTCAATAAAAAGCTTTTTATTGGAAAGATCCATTTATCTTGCACGTTCTATAAATTTTGAGAAGTTTAAGGGCATTTTAATTCATTGACTGTGCTGAGCTTCAAATCGTTCATTCGTCCTAAACAATGAAGATAGCAAAGCAACAGTTTGATTGAGCTTAGCTGTTCGCAAGAAATTGATAGTGTTTCTGTGCTTTTTCTCCCAACAAGAGGCAACTTCAGCTATATTTCCCTTGATATTTCCTATATCTAAAGCATTTAAGACATTTTGCAGAATAATCCCAGATAAAAGCTTCTCTAGAAGAAGGTGAAGAAAGACTGAATCGATATGTAACAATAGAAGGAAACTATTTCTGCAGGAAATCTGATTCCAACTCTATTCAAACTTCTGAGAATTGAAGTTTTCCGGACAGAGATTGAAGAGACTCAACAAAAATCCATTGTCGAAATCTGCTAAGAAGTTGTGAGTTTCCTGGAGAATTTCATCAACTATCTCAAATTCTTCTCAACGCAACGTTAATTCCAATCTTTCCGCCCACCCCCAAAATACCCTCGAATATGTGAACATGTGGAGAACGTTTCTCAATATGTAACGAATAATTTTCCCATTGTATGATAAAAGTTTGCAGGAGCGTGCAAAATGGCACAAGAACATATAATGTTTTCATGAGTAGTCAATTTGCTGAGTTTAGTCCTTTCATTAAAACTTCCCACACTTTATCCGATTTCACAAACTGATGCCATAGCAATTTTCAATTCACTCTCATTTTCACTTTTAGCAGAACTTCTTGTAGTGTAGCATCATTAAATATCAGTTATCTGACGCTGGATTTTAAGTATTTCCATGGAAGTTTATTTTTGAGCGACTGAACTTAATGCCGTCTCTGTGAGGATGGGTGTGTGTCGTAAAAGGGGCCAATAAAATGTGCTGAAATATGGCCCTTATTGATATTCGAGACATCTATTTCGATCTCTATTCGCCAGGACTTTAATACATCATTGCCGTTTGCCTAATGTCTGCCTTTACGAGTTCTCTTTAAATCCGGATCAAAATCACGACTGCCAGATAATTCTGTTTGTGAAAGGCACTCTAATATTAGGACACTCGGAGGTTGAATTTTAGAGGCTTTTTCATCTGCTTTCACCTAGAAAACTCCGTAACACACAATATAAATCACACACAACTCTCGCTATACTAAGTCAATACCTGGCGAGCAAACTGGGCGAAAATTCGGGCAAAAGTTTCCGAAGGTTCTTGTGTTGATGTTGAAGCGAATTTGCGGATCCAGGAAATAAATGGAATCGCACGCTCTATTTGCAGGTTTAATTCAATAGTTAAAGGCCAATGTGTTCTGGGATGTTTTAGGGACAACTTCGCCCTCCAATGGTAAATCAAATAGAGAGCTTTATATCGTTAAATCTCGAGCGTGTGCTTTAAAAGGGGCTTTTCAGCTCATCAAACAATGAAAATTTGGGCAATTTGGGATTCAATTTAATAGTTTAATGGCGCAACCCTTCGTGTTTAATGACCCCAAATGTGTTCATTAATGTGGGACAAATAAGAATCACACCTCTTGCCGGGCCAAACAAAGCTTATCGCCTCGCTTTTTTTTCACTCCATGCCGCCCACAACAGCCGCCGTGACATTTCAATGGGCTTTTTTCCGCACCGCACGCGTGAAGGGCCATTAATCATCCCCTTGGGAGAGTTAATTCCCGAAGTCAGTTCGCGAACATTTGTTGCATTCGCCCTTGGCTTGCGGCCACTTGAGATGCTAATACATACAAGAGTCCGAGCTTATTTGTATCCCGTCCGTGGCGTCCTAATGACCCAACTTGTATTCCAGTCAGGAAAGAAATTAGCGCAAGATTGATAGGCGGAGGACGAATTATGTAGAGTTGGCGAAGACGAGTGAGAAAGAAGAGGAAAAATGCCCAGAATTAATTGATTTAAGAAGTTAAATTTATTTTTTTCATTTTTTCTCAGTATATCCTTATATACTTGTTTTTTTTAGTAGTTTACAAGGAAAAATTATTGTCTCTTGCTACATATAATTACTACATTTTGAGTTTTTCATCTGTTTTTTTTTGGTTTCATTCTCCAATTATACCATGTTTTATATTTCTTCTAAACAATTGACGGCACTCTAACACATTTCTTTTATTTTTTTTTGTAGATTATTGTCATAGTTTACACTTAGGTACTATATATCGTTTTTTTTCTTCTTTTTTTGTAGCTCTTTAAGCAGATTTTTTTACCCTGCATCACACAACATGCATACATACATTGTCAAAAAGGAGAGTAAAATCCTTTAGATAGTTACATTTTATTATACTAGGTTACAAATGGGGGTTTTCATGGTGCTCAAATTGTATATTATTATTGTCTCTCTGATATTGTCTCTGATATTAAAGATTTGGATTTCCAAATACACAAGAATATGTGAGCAAAAGTTCTCCTTTTTGCGCATTCTTTCCCAACGCCATAAGATTTCCAGCAATAATAAGCAGGTCAAAGGTATACCAGTGGTAGGAAGAAATGTGTCTTGTAGGAATGATATGGGCGCGGGTGTGCTTTGGTACACAGCACGCTTCTGGATATTATCCCAAGAGTTTTTATCTTACATCTCAATACAATTATTCAAAATATTTCTCATGATATCTCTTGTCTTTCTCCTCTGTGGGATTTCTTTTGTTGTCTCTCGGCTTTCCTTTGATATTGAAGAGATATGTTTCGCTCAACCAATATGGGGTAAGTTTGTTGTGGAAGGCAAATGTACAGTCTACAGTGGGATATATATCATATTCATCTCACTTTTTCTTTCAATATTCATAAAGAGAAGAGAATTCCCGCAATTGAGGGATTTTTCATCAGATCTTTTCCATTTCTTTTTTTTTAATTAAAAAACTTTGAATAAAATACTTTGGCGAATAACCATGAAAACTCCCGTAGCTTAAGGTTTGCTGCCATTTGAATACATTGAATACAGAGATATATTTGATTCTTAAAGCCTCCTGATTATGTACGTCGGATCGAGTATATCTTATTTTTTTGGGATTTTTTTTCTTTGAAAGCTTTTCTGGTTGTTGACTCATATATTTAAAACTCTGACTCACCGATTGTGTTCTGAATAAGAATACTTCGGCCCTGTTTTCAGGCCATAATCTCTCCGCGGCGGGCCTAGCGATAGGAATTGCTCACTTGCCGCATGATGGTGCGCTGACGCTCCCGGAAGTGCGACCGCGGCTGCCCGCCGAGGAGGTAAGCCGACGCCGCGAGCGGGTTGTCCTGCGACTGCCTCACCACGGGAATGCCCTGATCGTAGTCTAGTCTTTGATTATTGTCATCATCTAGGTTGGCCATACTGGACTTTTGATATGTGCTCGTGAGCGAGTGACTCTGGCCATTGGCGATCTCCTTCAGCACGGCCGCCCGCGCTGCCAGCTCCTCTGCCCGCCGCTGCTGCGCCAGCTCGCGCGCCCGCTGCGTGGCCATGAGCTCCTTCAGCGTGTCGAACTTGCCGCGCTGCTGCGGGATGAGGCTGTTGGGGAATGTGCCGCTGCTGCTCACCTCTCTGGCTGCGTCCTCCACGCCACCCTCCTCCGGGCTGTCGGGATTCCGGAACACAACCAGGGGCCGCGTCTTCTGGGAATTGGCGAACTTGCGCTGCATCGAGCCCGTGTTCACGCGCTCGGCCCCGTAATACCTGCCGAGGGCAGTCAATGAGAGGCTGTTCATGCACACAGATTCCGCGGTGGATTGATTAGGATGAGGGCTAGTCATGAACTTAATTATTTGTTAAGACTTGAAATAAAATCTTTCTGTCTGCACCAATTCTGTGTTTGACCAATTTTGTTCTGAAGGGTTAACGAATTGATTATAGAAATTGTGTGTTATTATTCATACATGGGAGACAAAAAGCTTTCAGAAAAATCGGGCTGGCTAAAGGTGATTGAGTAGGACAAAATTGGGGTGAAGGATCTGCGTCTCAATCTGCCCCTGAGACAATCAGAGACTGCGGGAATGTCATGAGCTTACCTGGCGATGTTGTCGAAGAGTCGGTTGCGGGCCTTTGTGTTGCGGTAGCGGGCCAGCGGCTCCTTGTGCACCACGCGTCCGTAGACTGGCCTGGTGGCGTCGCGATACCGGGACACCCGGACGCCGCCCACGCTGCGCGTCTTGGGGAACATGAGCGGCTCCCACACGTTGAAGGCGAACGGATCGCGATACGTGGGGATCTCGTTGGTGATCTCGGCAGCGCGCGACTGACGCTTGGAGAAGCGCCACATGGCGCGCAGCTCCTCGCAGGTGGGCTCCTGCGAGGAGCCCATCCGCTGCATGGGGATGATCTCGCCGCCCGCGCCGCCCGCCGTCCTGTTCACATCGCCGCTGTTTTTGCTGTCGCCCGGCGCGTCCTGCGAGAGGTAGTCGTCACTACCTCTCACTTGGGCCCACACGCGCTCACCATTTAACAGAGCAAGCACAATACCGAAACTTATCAGGTTCCTCGTGGTGACTGGATTCTGCAATGACATGGGAAAATGCTCGTCACTCACCCGCGTCCGCCCACTGTGCGGGCGCTGCGAGGGAGAAACCTGTTGTCTGGCAAAGGAGTCACCAGAAAAGGCGATATGGGGAAATTCATTCAATCCCATTAACTTTGCGAGGACATGGAAAGAGATGCCACACAGTCAGTATGTACATGGATGGGGATGTGCAAAAATTCCACCCCTCAATTTTCCACTGTCCTCACCCTGCCGCGCGCTCATTCATAGTTGAGGACAAAGAAAGCTGAATGGAGGAATTTGCATGGGACAATCTATGTGCATACTCAATGTGTGGCTCTCAGGATTACTTCAGCAGCAACAGATAACACACTCTTCAGCTACAATATCTCCGGGGGTGGGAAACAAAGAGACGCTTTTCTTCACAGGGAGGAAGTCACACTAAAATATTCTAGGCCTAAGCACGAATTCTCGACACGATGGGAAATGGGAATGGAAGAAGAAAACGTTAAGAACTTTCACACTTAGCGCGAAATAGTTACTTGTGTTCGACGGCGGAAAATGAAGCTGTTCCACTTTGTATGAATGCTATGTGCAATGTAATATGGAGTGCGGAGATGAGCCCTATATATACTCCTCATTGCCAGCCACGAACTCATTCAACGAGGTCCCTGCGGGAGCGCACTGTATATGTATCCAACAGTTTGCCTCTTGTCACATCCATACTACACTGGCGCCTGCCGAACCTGTGCCACCAGCCATATAGCACGGCTCCTGAGCCTCGGCTCACTTCCCCAGCCGCTGGCGGGGACCTGTGCAATCGATGCCCGCTCGCGACACGGCGCCAGGCTTTCGGCTGCGCATGCGACAGCCCACGCCCAGGCTGGCGGAGGCAATTGTACCCAGTGAAATTTTCGGCATCACTCGACCTTGCGTACATTCATTCATACCCACGGCCCTGCACTTCTTCCGTCCCGCTCGCGCGCCGGGGAAGGGGTTGCGCCTCCGTGGGGTGGATTGAATTGGCAACCCCCCGAATCGGCAGCCCACAGCCTGTTTGATTCATGCTCTGACTACTGAATCGTGAACGAGGTTGTGAATGACGTAAATGACTGGGTAGGTCTCCCCAGCGCCAGGGCATCCGCTCAATTGAAAAGGCGCTCTGCGCCCTATTCACGCTGTCGTCATTCTGCCCCAAAAGTCCACAGTAGTCGCACATAAAAAAAGAACTGTGCCTTTGGGGCTTTCGCACCCGCCCCACATTGTTTGCGATAAAAATCAGCACATGTGTGTGCGCGCCAACCCGCGCAACAATGTAACATCATAAATAAATGTATCAATGAAAAATTTTCACTGTGCGAGATGGTGAAAACCTGCCGTGAATGCCTTATCGTTATTGCCAGTGTAACCTTTTTAGCACCTTTTCTCACCAGTTGCTTTCTCCGCCACATTTACATATTATTTAGGATAAATAATGCCTCTGGGAGATGATTCATGCGACGCGCAGGAGTGGAAAAGCCCTCAGCATCCGACGGATTTGGGATTCGGCGGAGAATCAACAAATATCCCTCACTCTCACACCCACACAAGCCCCACACTCGCAATTCAACACTGCAGCAGTGAATTTGAAATATAATTATTCCGTGGAAGAAAGGGGTGGCAAGAGAGTTAACCCATTGTTGTGCAACAGAATTCTGCACAATTATCTTTCCAGGAAGAGCGCACAACTATTGATTTTCAGGGGGACAAAAGCCCTAAATGCCTCGAGCGCACAATGGCCACAAAGCTGATTAATATATACCATTCATGTCACACATATGAGACTTCCTGCGGCCATGCACACGCTGGAAAATGGAAAATTGGATAGGAAGGACATCCCAGTTTAATTTCGCACAACTATTATGTATTACAGCACACATCTAGGGTGTGGGCTTTCTATTTGACCAGAGTTGAAGTGGGGCAGAAAAGCTATTGTCCTAGATTAAACAAAGCAGTTCATTCTAAAACTGCGCGAAAGTGCATTTAATGCGTTTTCTTTGGAAATTCATAAACGATAATTTGCAGGATTCACAAATCCCAAGATCTTCCTTTTTTCCAAGAAGATCTTATTTATATTAATCAGGAGCAGAACCATAAAATGGAAGAGGAGTTCATATAAAATAGTCAGAGAAAGCAAAAGCATTAATCCTGTCAGCAGAATGTATTTCATCCTCATTCTACTTATCCCTAATCTACATCAACCCACTGACTTCAATTCTACTCTTAGATGGAAATGTGATATACTGAACTATTTCAAGTGGTTAAATATTTGAGGGTAAACTATATGCTGTATCTATAAAAGGTACAACTCAATTATCAAGTTATACAGTCGTTTAGCTTCCCAGCTCTATTCTTGACCTCTGGTGAGTCCTGCCAGGTTTTTCTCTGCGAGAAAACCTCTCTCATAGAGCTATTTGCGAGGTAGAAATTCTCGGAAATGGAATTCTAAGAATTCTCAGGACGACAACTACAATAATACACAATCCTTTTCATTTCAGTTTAGCACGAGCTTGGGATTAAGCTGAGAATATCCTCTTGCAAATTCCCAGGAATTCGGAGGTTGTTGGGTTCTTGCGAATTTGGTATTCGGTCATGGTTTTCGTTCGTGAAGAATGTTAATTGCATGGCCTCAAGATATGAATGAAATACACTTACAAGTCCGAAAACTATTGGCTTATGTAGTGAATATACTCACATTTGTACTGAGTGGGAAGCAAAATCGAGGCGCGTGGAAGGGAATTTGCGTCGAAGAACGCGTTATTCGGCGGGGAAGTGATGTGTAATGACGCCACAAGCAACGATTTCCACGCTTCGCCTTTTTATTATGCCTATACACTTTGATATGGCTTACAATACTCGCTCGCGGCACTGCGAAGCCAGTTTGGTGTATTGTGGAGTCCAGAGTAGTTGGGAATTGTGAGATTGCGTCAGTTTTATCTAATCTCTCCGTTATTTGATTTGCTTGTTGGATGATTGACAAAGTTTTGGGGAATCTCTAAGCAATTCTGTGGGAGTTTTGAGCAATTTTCGCGTGGTTGGAAGTATAGTCGGGAGACTTAAGTGTTCTTTATGTCACTCTGCGGAGCTTAGTATTTGTGGCGTCTCTCTTCTGTCCTCTCCTTCGCTCTCGACAGCTTGATTCCAATATTTGGGGGATTGTGTATAGGAAACGCAAGTCACAGACAGAACGCCTATATGCCGCATTGTATATTGTGTTATAACACATATTTTGCCGCTTTTTCGACGCCAACCCGAACTCTGACACTTTGTGTTGCTTTTTTTCTATATAACACGCGATACAAGTGAGATGAGCTTTTTACCGGGATAACCTTGGTTTGTGAGCGATTACTGCCTAAAAAAAGAATAGTGAAGAGACCAACACTTCAGTCACTCGGCGAAAATTGAATTAGATAAAATACGTTTTACTATTTATCTGCTGACTTTTTCTCCAATAAATTCCGCAAAGTCTCAATCAGTTTGCATAAAAATGACTACGACTAATATAATATTCGACAAGGATACTTATGTGGCGGGGGAGAATGTGACTGGTCGTGTGGAAATCTTCAATTCCTCACCAATGAATATTCGGCGTAAGTTTGAGAATTTATTGCTCACACAACTGGAATGAAGAATCCTTTTCACGTTCATTCATACACATTTCCCAATGTTTACCCACGCAGATATATCCCTGATGATAAAGGGCAGTGCAGAGGTTCACTGGACCGAGCAGGAATCGTACACGGAAAATAACGAACAAAAGAGCCGTACAATTACATTTTCTTCACACGAGCAGTATTTAAACAGCCAAACGGTGCTGTACGGCCAACACGGCGGTCCAACCATCCAGCTGCCGCCGGGACAGCACTCCTACAACTTCGCCTGCTCTCTTCCGCCCAGTCTTCCGGGCTCAATATTCGGGGCTCACGGGAAGATAGAATACATTGCGAAAGTCAACATTGATATTCCATGGGCGCTGGACGACAAATTCAGTCGATCATTTCGCGTGGTTCCCAGTCTGGATCTGAATCACGATCCTCAGTTGAGACTTCCTGTTGAGTCCGAAAGAGTGAAGAATTATTGCTCTTGGAAGTGCTCAACTTCTCCCGCCATCATCACTGTTAAGCTCCCACAAACAGGATTTATCACAGGTGACAACATTCCGGTATCTGTTCACATCTCCAACCTCAGTTCCGTCACTATACAAGGTGTCCAAGTGAAGCTCATGCAGCGATGTGGTAAGGAAGCCACAGACTATACTTTTCAATGAACTTAATACTATCTTTCTTGTTGTTCCCAAGAATTCTTTGCCACCACTCCTCGTCACAAGTCAAAGTCCAACGAGACCAAAATCGACTACAAGAGATTTGAATTGATACAACAGAAAGACGAACGCGACATTGAGCTGCAGACGGATATCAGAGTTCCCTTCACTGAAGTCTCGTGCAAACTTGCGGCTCACATCAAGGTGTTCTATCACCTGGAAGTGGCCATTTACGTGCTCGGATGCCACAATACAACTCGAATGTACGTGCCTATCACCATTGGGACGTTTCCACTGCGTCCCGAAGGAGAGAACAATACCTTTCTACCTCAGGTGGCATTCCCGAATGCTCCGCCTCAGATTGACATGCCAATAGTGCCACCAATGCTGCCTGGATCGAGTCCGGCTCCTTTGGCGCCATATCCACCGGCTATGCCTGTACCGATGCCAAATGCGCCCTTAGCACCATCGGCACCTTCAGCTGCAACTCCGGATGAGACAGGTGAGAATTTGATCTCTTTGCGTTAGTGTTTGAACGCAAGGATCCCATATTTCTATCCTGACTTAAATTACTTACGTTATAAGGATAGGAAAGAGATGATTATAATCTCACATAGAGCCCAATTAATATGCATTTTTATCCACCAATCTTCCTCTATTTTCTCATTTTCTTCTTGTGGACAGCTTTCGTAGCGAAAGATTGTCAGACCTTTTGAAAAGCACTCTGTGCACAATCTTATAATTTCCCTTATTCTCTTGGTGTATTCTCTTCTTCATCTTTTATCTCTGTGAATAGTGTTTATTCATGCATTTTATTTTGTCTTTGGCAAGTGTTATTGATCAGATTACACAAAGCATCGAAAGCACTAGAGTGTTTTATTACATATATACTCATTGCACAAGAGGGAAACATTTCAGAGTCACGTATGATTCTGAAATATACTTTTACACAACTAAAGTAGTGCAAAATCTCATCATTCTAAGTGTGAACTTCAAAGTTAAAATTGCTCCACTTTCTCCTGAAATATTTCCATGACAATATTCACACACATTCATCACGAGGGAAACCACTGGCGAATCTAACAGTATTATTGAAACAATTTGAAGCGCACACTTCTTAATTGGTCTATAAATGACGTTGGAACGCCCGCACAAATTACATAATAATTTCATTTGCAGTACAGAAATCAGGGTGATTAACTGAGAAAGCTTTTATTTTATCAGGTTTCGACTGTCTAAATACAGCTGAAAGCACTGCAAATTATTCTTCTCTAGCCTAGAGCAGCTAGAGACCTTAGAGAAGTCCTTGTGTTTTTCTCTCTCCACCCACGTTTTGTGCGATGAAAAGCTGCCAATAAGGATGTTTTGAAGTAAATCCAAACAATTGCGGCATTCTTTTCTCATTTCATGGAAAAAAATGCTTAAAATAGAGAAAAGCTAAGAGATTTTAATCAATACTCTCAATGAGAAAGAAAAACACCCACATAAGCCACTGAATAATTGAAATGTCACCACTTGTTTTGTCATTTTTTACTTTTCACCCACAACTTCGTCCTTTATGAACAAGTTAATCACCGAGACGATAAGACTTGCCGCAAGGGTGAAGCTGCGAAAGGGCAGAACGAGATATTGCAGTGTGAATGATGGATCGCACATTGAGAGAGCCTTTTGGGTTGAATTTCAATTGGGATTTCTGTTTGTCTTTTCAGCGCCACCGCCTTCATACGCAGACGTTATGTTCGGCTGGAAGAGCGATGAGAAGACGTACAATTCACCAAGTGCTCCGGCATTGCCCAAGTGATGGCGACGAATTTGATGTACAATGTTTTCCACTTTGGAAATGATATTATATACAAACGTAGTTGTAGTAATTGCGCGATTTCCTTGAGAGAAAATATACAAAAAGACAGGATGTGGGCGTCTCTCATTGCAGTCCACCTGATGGAGAAAGACTCTCTTATGCAAAATGGTGTGTAAACATACGAAAATTCCTCATTCCCGCCAATTACCAAAATAGCTGCACGCACACAGACGCGCGTGTCGAGATTTTATCTCATGGCTGAGATTTTGCACCAAATGGATTTTTCGTCTAGGTGATCATCTTCATTCTGCTGTATTTCCTCGGTGACGAAACACATTCAGTGCGAGATATTTTTGGTGCCACAGAAGTCACGACTTTCAAAACTCATTTTCCTCAATGAATTTTCCGTGGTGGAACTCTGCCGCAGATCAGTGAGGATCGGAGGGTTTTCCCAGTGAATTTCTGTATTTATTTGGGTGTGCTCTTGCTCATAAGCCACGCGTTGTGTGGAGTGACGTCCAAGGAATTTCATTGTCCCCGCCAGCGTCGCAATCTCGCGTGAGCATCTTGGCGCCGTCGTGGTGATCGCGCGAAAGCCACCGAATGCCGATCAGCATTGAAGTGGAATTCTCACCGGCTGCCGAAGTTTATCACTCAGGACAGCTTCTGGCGGGAAATGTGCGCCTGGTCGTGGAGCGCCCCAAGAGGCTGCGCGGTAAGATCCCATCGAACTCTCGTCGGTCGTAGTAACTGAAGATCGCCTGTTTCAGCCATTTGTGTGTACGTTACGGGCAGTGGTCGCGTGAGTTGGACGTCTTACTGCGCGATCGCCGACAAAATTGAGACTATTGAACATTCCGGCAATGAGGAGTACATCAACTGCCGCACTTGCGCCTACAATGCCGCCAGTGGATCCTTCTTTGAGCTGCCGGCTGGGATGAATGTGTACTCCTTCAAGTACACACTGCCCATGTGGCTGCCGTCTTCCTTCGAGGGCACACACGGCTACATCCGCTACGCGGTGGATGTGGTGCTGGAGAGGCCATGGAAGTTCGACAAGACCTTCAAAAAGCCCTTCGCTGTTTCGCGCACGCTTGACCTCAGCCGCGATCCGTCGCTCAAATTGCCCGCCCAGATGGAGTACCGGAAGCAATTTGTCCTCTCGAGCACGGCTCGAGGGATCCTGGCGATCACAGTGAATGTGCTGAAGACGGGATATGTTTCCGGTGGTGTCATTCCCATTGAGGCCATCGTGGCCAACAATTGCGCCTACAGCATTAACAAGATCGCCTTCGCCTTACGCAAAATCATCACATATAAGTGCACATATCCTGCCAAGGCGGAGAAGGACGAAGTCACGACCATCAGAGAGAAATTTGTGGATTGTCTCGTGGAGAATGAGCAATCCTCCTTCCTGGAACGTCTGGAAATCCCCGAGACTCCGCCCACAACTCTTCACTTCTGCAATGTCCTCAACATCGCCTACGAAGCGCGAGTCATGGCAGTTATTCCCGGCATAACGGCCAATCCTAGTGTGGCAATCCCCATAATTATCGGCACTGCGCCTTTTGAGAGCAATCAACCCTCGAGTCCTGCTCAATCTGTGCAGTATCACGAGGAGGAAGCCACTTCAGAGATCGACGATGCGCGTAAGAACTTCCCCAATTAACCAACTATGCTATAAACTGACCTACACATTTTTTCTTCTTCTTCAGCTCCGCCGTCTTACGAGTCAGTCTATGGGAGTGCTTCAAATTACTGAATGATCGCAATGGATTTTTTTGCTGTGAAAGATATCACTTATGTATTTATCATTATATGAACAAAATGAACACAATAATCGCCTTGAAATATTTCCCATTTTACCGATTTATAGCCCGCGAGTAATCTAATCTAATCAATTATGACGAATTTTCAATGCGCGTCACTGAAATGTCGAAAGAAATACCATCACATTTCACCCAACTCCAGTCAGTCTTTCGTCCACCATGGCAAAGTGCGAAGTGAGGTTCGACAGCAATCCGTACGGAGTCTACCTGGCAGGACAAACAATGTCTGGCCAGGTGGAGTTGAATATCTTCAAGGTGAAGAACGTGAGAGGTGAGTTCACTGACCAGAAAACCTCTCCAGCTGAGGATTAATCTAGTGATCATGTTCTAGCTGTGACGCTCAAGATTCTGGGATACGCCAAGGTTCGCTGGTCAGAGAGCACTTCGAGCAGCAACGGAAGAACATCCACAACTACAACAGTCGTGTACCATGGCAAAGAGGAGTACCTGGCTTCCAGCACGGATCTTGTGGGCCGATCGCAAGATGGTGAGATTGTGATATTGTAAAAAAAAACAAGTCCATAGACTTTTATCTCGGAATTCCTTATCACCGAACATATTTTGCAATTTTGTGGCCCCCACTCTTGCTGATAGTGCAAAGCTCTCTAATTACCGACTCTCTCTTTTTGTTCTTCCCCTTTCAGGAAGTACACTCGAGCTGGCGCCTGGGACGCATTCCTATCGCTTCACGTGCGATCTGCCCCACCAGGTGCCGACTTCCTTCGAAGGCTCCAAAGGATACATCAGATACTTCGTGGTTGTGGCTCTCGAGAGGCCCTGGAAATTCGATCAAAAGTTTAAGGTGGCTTTTACAGTGCTGAAGCAGTTTGATTTGAACTTTGATTCACCAATCTTGAGGGTGAGTTACTCAACTAATCCACGCCCTATTGTCTGACTCAAATTCTGGCATTAGTTGGATTAGAGTGGGGCTTTTTTTCTCAGAAATATCGGAAATCACTGAAATCTAATATGATTTATCTCCTAACTAATTTCATTAGCTACCATGCCAAGCAAATCTGGAGAGGAGTTTTTGCTGTGGCCCCTGCCGAACGGGGCCAATGTCCATAATAGCTCACACTCCTCAGTCAGGATACGTTCCTGGACAGACAATCACTGTCCACGCCGAGATTGCGAATGCAAGCTCTGTAAAACTGGACGAAGTGAGGTTCGCCCTTAGGAAAATAATACGTTTCACGAGTCAGAAGCCCAGAAGTAAGACAATTGAGGAAACCTTAACAATCACTGAGGCCAGAATTGCGGGTATGAAGAAGAAGCAGAGCGGGAAGTTCGAGCAACATCTCCAGATTCCTCCACTTCCGCCCACAAGTCTGACACTCTGTCGTGTCATCACCATTTCCTACGAGGTGAAAATTGAGGCCAAAGTGTCTGGAGCGCACTTGAATCCGGTGGTGAAGATTCCAGTCACGATTGGAACGGTTCCGCTGAGGGACAATGTGTACGCGATTATGCCTGCGAGTGAGGATATCTCAGGAGGTCCAGTTCATGCAGAGCCTATCTTGAATCCAATCCAGTCTCCAGGCTTTGACCAAAACCTGCGTAAGTTAACAATTCCAGGGTGGGGTATTTGAATGGGCGTGACCGTGATTTCTCCATTTCAGCACCCCTTTCGTATGAGGAGTGCATTTTTGGGGCGATTCAGGTGAAGGACGACGAGGATGATGAGAAGACAGTGATGTCCTGCAAGCAAAATGCTCCTCGCTATCCTGTCTACAACTGCAGCAATTGGCCAAAGTGTGGCGGGAAGATTGAGACCAAGGCAATCGAGCCTCTGGTGCTTCCTGAGCTGCCTAGGAATAATGCTCCCGAGCAGGAAATTTCAGAAGAGAACAAGGGAGAGAAACTATGATAGAACATAAAGCATTGTCTTATCTATTCCATCCATTAAAGAGCTGTAATTTGGCTGTAATTCATGCAGATAAATGCCATTATTTTAACGTATTTTCATGAGATTGAGATTCTCTCTGCAGAAATTGGCGCGAATGCCGCCAAATCTGCAGCTCGCTCTGCAGACGCTCATCGGGCAGCCCAGGAATGGGTGTGATCTGACAGTCGACGTCACATTCCTGTTCTGAATTTTCTTCTCGCGAAGAAAAGCCGGATTTCACTTTCATCCATTTGGTTTTCCCCCGCTGCTCCAGTTCGTTTCCCTTTTGGTTAACCGTCGTGGCTGAAGATGGGCCTGAAGGGATGCCAGATTGTGCTCGACAACCCCTGGAACACGTACTACGCTGGCCAGACGATCAATGGCAAGGTGGAGTTCACCTTCGACTCCCCCAAGAAGGTTCGCGGTGAGTTGCTTCTGAGGGGTTAAAAATAAAGCTCGGCAGCTGTAATTGTGTCTTCTGGCAGGCATTGTCATTCGCTTTCTCGGGGAGGCCAACACGTCGTGGGAGGAGCGCGAGAAGCGGCAGGACAGCGAAGGCAAGGAGACTGAGGAAGTGACTCACCTCAGTGGCCATGAAGAGTACTTTCAGATCCAATACTACCTCCTGGGCGGGAAGAACAGTGAGTGAACTGCGGGGAGACTTCTCTGGTTCTCAGCTCATGATGATTTCCGGGTGTTTTCAGGTGGAGAAGTTGAGTTGGAAGCGGGAACTCACACTTATCCCTTCACGTGCGCTCTGCCGCCGACACTGCCCTCATCTTTCGAGGGCGAGTGGGGCCATGTGCGCTACACCGTGAAAGTCACCCTGGATCGCCCGTGGAAGTTCGACCAGGAGAGCAAGATGGCCTTCACTGTAATCTCTCCGGTTGACTTGAATCTCAATCCGCGCGTGAAGGAGCAATTTAAGCTGGATCTGGAGAAGAGCTTCTGCTGCCTGTGTTGTCGCTCAGGGCCTCTGGCTACCATTGTCATCGTGCCCGTGACGGGATTCGTGTCTGGCCAAGTGATTCCCATCACGGCCGAGTGTGACAATGCCAGCAACGTTCGCGTGACGGGCGTGAAGATCCACATGCGCAAGATCATCACCTTCCACACTCACACACCGCGCCGCGAAACCAAGAAGGATAAGGTGAACATCTCGGAAGTGTCCGGAGGCGCTGTAGAGCCCGGCGCGTCGGACACGTGGACGTTCAAGCTTGAGATTCCGCCGCTGCCGCCGTCCAACCTCGTCAATTGCGGCATCATCGACGTGGACTATGATCTGAAGATTGTGGTGGAAGTGGCGGGAGCGCACAGGAATCTCGAGGGCAAGATTCCCATCACGCTGGGCACTGTGCCGCTGGCGGAGTTCAAGCCGCCGGCGCCGTTCAAGGACGAGCCGCCTCAGGATCCGTCGATGCTTCCCACGCAACCCGTGAGTCCGGCCAGTCCGCCAGAGACTGGCGGCGCTCTCGGCTGGTCCATCACCGACTCCGGAGGCCACAATCTCTACCCGAATATTCGTGAGTATTTGACCTCGTGTTGTAATTAAGCGAGAATTTTAATTACTCATCATTTACAGTTCCGTATCAGATGCGTAAGTGCTCTGGTTTGAGACTTAAGACTTTGCTTTTGCCTTTGAGTTGACTTCCTCCAAACCTTGACTTTGTGTGGGAATGTTTTCATTGAACAGCACGAAATGCTCAAATACTGTTGAGTTTCTTGAGAAACACAAAGACTTAAGTTTAGAGACACCTTAAAACACTCTTTCCAGTTGAGTTTCTTTGATTTCGGATAAATTCAATAACCTATTGAATGAACTTTGCAATATAATTGCGCGAATATTAATTGAGCTGCACAAAAAAGTAATGGTTTGAGATTCTATGATTTTATTCCTCAGTGAGTGTTTAATGAATCGCTTATCACTAAAGTAGTGCGGCACAATTAATTCGCTCAAGGTTTTCTGTTAGTTATTCAGTAAATTGTTAGGATCAAAGTGTTTGGCTGTCGTGACGAGACTGCGCCTAAATTCCTGATCCGGCATTTTAATTCGCGTCTGATTTATCTTGCGTATTTGCTTTTGCAGCTCCGCCAACGTTTGCCGAAAGCTCCTACAAATCTCCAAGCATCGCCAACAAGGAGGATAATGAGTACACGCGATTCGTGGGTGACAACTTTGCTCCAAGATATCCAACTTATGCATTTAACCCAACGGCTCCAGCGCCAGCCAATCTCTAAATCTCAGCGTTATTCTTTCATACTCATTTCGAGGTCTATCTTTAGATATTAAGCTAGAAGATTTTTGTTTAACTTGCACGAATTACTGCACAAAGTGTCCTGATGAGCCTCTAATGGCCATTTGTGAGGAGGAAAAGTTGCGCAATTTACCATGGAATGAACGAAAAGTGGACAAAAACGAGGTCTTTTTCGCTTTTTCGATACCTTTTTGAGGGAAGTAGGATCTATTATTTTTACACAAGAGTGCTAACATGTAGTGATTAAGGTAAACTTATATATTAACATAAACTGATAAAATATTACCGAAATCTTCCGTTACTGCTTGATAGTTCTTATTTGATGAGTGCCTCAAGATGTTGAATAACGTGAATAACAAAACCAATTTGATGATAAATTTCAACAATTGCTAGTCAAGAGATGGATATTTCATAGAGATATGAAATTATACAATTTTTGCATTGTCACTTTTTGGATACGATCAAAATTGCAGAGATATTTGTTGTTTATTCTCGTAAAAAAGAACAATTGTAGAATAAAAGAGTTAAGAGATCTTAACCGAGGGTGTTTTGAATTAAGAGAGAAATATCGGAAATATCGATATAATCGCTGCTGAAGGAAAACATGAGGGTTTGTTGACAAATCCTCTCTGGTGAAAAAGTGGATAATTCTCGAGGAATAAAGGATTGTGAGGAGATCTAAGAGATGGGGAAGCTGAAGGTGCACAAGCTGAAGTACATGAGCAAGGAGGATTTCAGGATTCTAACAGCTGTAAGTGAAGAATCTCAGTTTCACATTCCTAACCTCAAACTCTCTCGCAACTTTCACCGTTTCTCACATATTTTCTCCATTTCCACAGATCGAAATGGGCATGAAGAATCACGAATTGGTTCCTGGACCTCTGACCGCCTCAATAGCCAATCTCAAAGCTGGTGGAGTGAATAAACTGCTGCGGGAGTTGTGCAAGAACAAACTGCTTCAGTACGAGCGTGGAAAGATGTGTAAGTCTCTCTTCCGGAAGGTTGATATTCTTGGGAATCACGAGTGATTTTGCTTTCCAGATGATGGCTATCGCTTAACGAACATGGGATACGATTACTTGGCTCTGAAGGCGCTGACTTTGAGAGGATCCGTGGCGTCGTTCGGCAATCAAATTGGCGTCGGGAAGGAGTCCAACATTTACACAGTAGCCGATGGAGAAGGACTTCCGCTGTGCCTGAAGCTCCACCGACTGGGCAGAGTGTGTTTCCGGAATGTGAAGGAGAAGAGAGACTACCATGGACGGCGGAATAAGGCTTCGTGGCTGTACTTGTCGAGGATCTCCGCGACGCGGGAGTTCGCTTACATGAAGGCTCTTCACGACAGAGGATTTCTCGTGCCAAAGCCTATTGACTTCAATCGCCACTGTGTCCTGATGGAGCTGGTGAATGGCTATCCCATGACGAACGTGAAGGAAGTGGAGAATGTGGAGGCTCTGTATGACGATCTGATGGAGTTGATCGTCTCGCTGGGCAATTGTGGCGTCATTCACGGGGATTTCAATGAATTCAACATCATGGTGACTGACGAGGGAAAGCCCATCCTTATCGACTTCCCACAAATGGTCTCCACGTCGCATCCCAACGCCAAGTACTTCTTCGAGAGGGACGTGACGGGCGTTCGAGAGCTGTTCAAGAGGCGATTTGACTACGAGAGTGAGGAATATCCCAAGTTTGAAGATATTTCGCGGGAGGAGAATCTCGATGTGGAGATCAGCTGCAGCGGATACGGATTCACGCTGCAAATGGAGAGGGATTTGATGAGAGAGTACGGCATGGAGAGCGACGACGAGGAGGATTCAGAGGAGGGAAGTTGTCCAGAGATTACTGAGGAGGAGGAGGGCGAAGCCGATGTGAAGTGCACAGAGAAAGAATTGAAGGAGATGCGGGATCATCTGGAGGAGGAAGTGCAATTCAGTGAGCAGAAGGCCAAGGATGATTCAGCGCAGAGTCAAATTGAGAAGTACATCGCTTCAGTGTCTTCGCACTTGGCCAGTTTCTCACTTCAGGCGCCCTCGGATGAGGAAGATGTCTTCGAAGACGCCTTGCCTGCCGATGGACCACTCGCAGATCATCCAGCCATTCCAGAAACCACCACACAAGACTCTCTCGAGGGCCTGGATCCCTCTTCGCGCATGTATCGTCTGAAGATGGTGGAGAAACTCCTGTCGGACAGACGCAGCATGAGATCCTTCTCCACTACGGCCAGCACGATAGCGCCCAGCGTGATTGCGGAGCGTCAGAAGCGTGAGACGCGGAAGCAGAAGGCGCGCGACGAGCGCAAGCGGTGCACGGCCAAGGGTGATGCCAATGCCGCGATGCGGAGGCGGCATGAGAACAACTTCACCATCAAACAGTACGCTGGATGGGACTTCTAGACGGTCGGGGGCTATTTATAGACGGTGCGAAAATCTGTACAGGATATACAAATATAGGCAAATTGCAGGAATTACGCTGGACAACAATTCGGTCGATTGGAGCCACGTGACGCCAAGTGTTGTGACCCACTTCTTGACCGTCAATTTCGTATGAATAATTCAGCGGCACGCGGAAAGTATGAGTTGCTTACAGACGAGCCTCCGTTCACATGACCTCTTCTGCACTATTTCCAAATTATTTTGTCAATGTAAACACCAAAAAAAGTTGTTTTTTCGATGTTGTCACTCGTTAAAATTGAGTGGAAATTTTGCCTTCTTGCCTTATCTCGTAACGTTATTTGTTTGAAAAAGAAAAAAACGTGTAAAGTGGGGCTTGAGTGTAAACAAGAAAGCCCTCCAGCTGTGATTTTTGTGTACTGGAAGTGACAGAAGAGTCCCACGGATTTGCAGGAGGTTCATTTCGGTCCTCCTGCCTGTTTTGTCGGTTGCACGATGGCGCGAAGCGTGACGTAGAGCGGGAAAAAATGAGAGCAAAGCCAACTTGTGATAGTGCTGCAATAAACGCTGATAGCGGGATTCGGTGGAGAGGCTCCGCTCGAGAGTCAGTTGAGCTGTTGTCTCTCGTCTGAGATCATCTCGCCCTTGAATTCTCCTCACACGCACAATCACCAGTGAAATGGCGAAGGATAATCTGACTGCGGTCCTGCACGGCATCAACGATTTGCGCCTGGAGCAGAAGCCCATTCCAGAAATCAAGGACAATGGTGAGAACTGCGACATAGTCTCAATATCGCAAGCAATGCACAGCGCTTCTTCGCAGAGGTCCTGCTGGAGATGGACTGCGTGGGAATCTGCGGATCGGACGTGCACTACCTGGTGGAGGGACGCATCGGGCACTTCGTGGTGGAGCAGCCCATGATTATGGGCCACGAGGCATCGGGAGTGGTCGCGAAGCTGGGCAAGAGCGTCAAGACGCTGAAGGTCGGCGATCGCGTGGCCATCGAGCCGGGAGTCGCGTGTCGCGAGTGCCAGTTGTGCAAGGAAGGTCGCTACAATTTGTGTCCAGGTAAGGATCAATATTTCCCACTCCACTTCGCACCCAAAACTTTCCTTTGATTACCCCGAAAATCAGCAATTCTCTACGTGCGTCATCAATGAACGAGGGGGAATTTCACACTTTTCCGCTAACGTGGCGGTCACCGTGAGGAGAGCAGACAAAACAAGAGTGCAAATGAAGGTCATTCGCCTTTTTATCTGACGAAAAATGTATTAAATTTCTTCGGTTTCAGCTTGATCAGCTTGATTTTCAGTAATTTTATAGATTGTGCATTGTGACCTCTTTGATGACGGGTCAGAAAGAGTCTGCAACCGGAACTGTAATCTCAGGCGTCTCAAGCAATGCGACGTCTTTCAAACACAAACAGTTAATCTTAGGGAAGTGCGGAGATTTTCGATCTTATCTGAGAGAAGATTGAATGTCAAAGAAATTTAAATTCCCAGGAAAAATCTTGGTAAAATGTAAATGAAACAAATGCTTCATCAATCGCTACACAAATCATATTCGTTCATAACAATTCCGCATTTCTCTAATTCAATTATTTTCGTCCCCATCGCAATATTTGAATTGAATGAGATGTTTACCAACAAACACAGAATATACGTAATCAACGTAATCATATTACTCAAAAGCCTCTAACAGCTTCATTTTAAAGCACTCGATATTCACTGATAATACTTTAATAGTCCATAAATCTATTTTTATCTCCCGCATCAGCTTGACTGTCTGGAAAATTACTAGTAATGAGAGTAATTATCTTCCTACAGAGATGATCTTCTGCGCCACGCCGCCTTGTCACGGGAATCTCACTAGATTCTACGCTCACGCGGCGGACTTCTGCTTCAAGCTGCCCGAGCACGTGACAATGGAGGAGGGCGCTCTGCTGGAGCCTCTCTCCGTGGGCGTGCACGCGTGCCGACGCGGGAACGTCGGCATCGGCTCAGAAGTGCTCATCCTGGGCGCCGGGCCCATTGGCCTGGTGACCGTGCTCACGGCCAAGGCCATGGGAGCGTCGAAAGTCGTGATCACGGACTTGCTGCCACAGCGACTGGCGGTAGCGAAGGATTTGGGGGCGGATTTCACTTACCTGGTGGAGAAGAATGTCTCTGAGGAGGAGAACGTGCGCAGGATTCACAAGCTGCTCGGTTCGCAGCCGGACAAGGCGGTGGATTGCAGTGGGGCACAGGCCACGGCCAGACTCGCGATGTTGGCCACAAGGAGCGGAGGATGCGTGGTTATCGTGGGACTGGGTCAGGCTGAGGTCACGCTGCCGCTGGTGAACGCTGCCACTCGTGAGGTGGACATCCGTGGAGTCTTCCGATACAGCAACGAGTGAGATTACAAATGAGATTTGAGATGACTTTCAGGACTGAAAATGTTCCTGTGCATTTCAGTTACTCAGCTGCCCTGGCGCTTGTGGCGAGTGGGAAAGTTCCTGGGCTGAAGAAGCTCGTGACTCACCATTTTGACATTACTGAGACCCTGAAGGCCTTCGAGACGTCGCGCTACGGCCACGGGAATGCCATCAAAGTGATGATCCACTGCCAGAAGAGGGACAAGAACAACGCGAGTAAATTTTGAATAAAGTCTACTTCTGATTGATGACGCTTTGCTCGATATATCGCATGGGAGGTAAACAATGTGGTTGTCAAGTGCTAATAAAACATTATTGGTTTGTGCTCAGCGGAATCACGCTTTTACTGCTTTTCCGTGCAAGAATTCACGCCGTCTGTTTTGTCAATTGTAGTTGTGTACTCTCGCCTTGCGTTTTAAGATGACAGACAGGGCGCCGCAGCAATTAAAGGCCGCGAGAGCGCTGGCGGAATTCGGCTATGGATTCAATGAAGGTGAGAGGGTTTGTTTTGCTTGTTCCGGCTGTGATTTTCCACTGTTTTCCTCTGCAGAGGGCAAACTGAGACAGCTGGATGCGCACACTGGAGCCATCACTGATAAGGGCTTTGAGTTCGCCATGTACAAGGAACACAAGGAGAATCAGAAGCGCTATGAGCAAATTGGCGAAGTAACTTTTTGACCTCTTCTGTCACTGTTCAGCTTTTGCTAATTTGATTGCGCAATCTGTAGGTTATCACGGACTATGTTTACGAAAGACTAGAGGCTGTGGGAATGGAGAGACTCCCCGTGCCAGTCGATCCTGCACCTCCACTGAGCACCTTCGTCTTCTCCACGGCGAAGGAACTCAACCGTCCGGAGAAACTCCTGCTCTTGATTCACGGCAGCGGCGTCGTGAAGGCCGGACAGTGGTCGAGGAGGTACGCTGTCCATTAGTCACCTGAAATGGCATGAATTTGATGAGCTGACGCCTTTTTCAGCCTCATTATCAATCATTCCATTGCGGCCGGCACTCAGCTGCCATACATTGAATCGGCGCGAAAGCAGGGCTTTGAAATATTGGTGACAAACACCAATGACAACATCGTGAACGGGAAACCGATTCCCGGCAGCGAAGACTCTGTGGAACACGCGGTGTATGTCTGGGAAAAGTACGTTCTGCCCGCGAATCCAAAGGTAACGATTTATTGTGGATCATTTTAATCTTCCAAATTGGAACTCTCGGAGCATTTGTGGGGGAAAAACAAGTGGGAGACAAACAGAATTATCTGCTAATTTTGGGCTACCGAATTTTCCAAGCGATAATCGTGTGTTTCTGGGACACGAATTGTCAATATCTGGGCATTGCATAATTGTGCTGTTTTCTGTGCTCTTTGCAGTCAGTGGCCATTGTGGCACACAGCTATGGAGGTATTGTTACCTTGGCGCTGGCCAGGAAGTATCCTGTGTTCTTCAAGGAGAAGGTATTTGCCATCGGACTCACAGATTCCGTTCACTTGGGCATTAAAGGATGCACAAAGGAATTTCGCGACTACATAAAATCTGTGAGTTTTTGTACTTATTTATTAGCAATTTTTTTTCTCACTTTTAGCAAGTGTTTTAAGAGAGTTTTAAGATTTATTTAGTCCCTTGTCAAGAGGATTTGCAAAGGGAGTTGTGTTTAAATTCTGTCTTCTTTTGCTTGAATTCTGTAGTAATTGTTGAGTTGAATGACGAAAGGGATTAACAATCGCTTCTTTGCAGATCTCGCGGAATTGGGTGCGCTCGGAGAAGCCGCTGGACACAAAGCTGGCCACTGGAGATCCCGACGACGTGCCTCACTACTCGGCGGGTCACATGCAGCACGAGTGGACGTCGCACACGTGCATGAGCGCCCTGTTTGACTTCTTCCGCGAGCGCCACGAGGCTTTCCAGCGGGCGCAGAAGTGAGGCTGATGGGCGCTCGGGGTTAAGCGCGAGCAAAGGTCCCCCGAAAAGCGACTCGCAGCGTGAACATTGATTTGATAATAAAACGAATAAGATACAAATTGAGCCTTAATCGGACTGCACGGTGTCAAATAAGTGGCAGACCTCTTGTGTACGCCCAGGACCTATGGCTCCGATGGGTGTTGAAAGTTGAAGTCCCGGTTGCGACCCTAATTTGCGGGGTGAAATATTTTCAGAGCGATTTGAATTTGTTTGTTTTCATTTTCACATCCAGCAATATTTAATTTAATTTTAAACGCCACAATCTCAACTGGGCATTGGTTGTGAGTGTGCGTGGCGACAATTTCAGTGCTGCGCGACCTCCTGACCCCGGCCAGAAAAGTCCAAACAAAGTCGGATGCGCGCGCGAAGAGGGAAGAATGAGTGCTCGACTCAAGTGTATACGGTTTCTTATAATTCTCCCTATCACAGCCTAGACTTTATTTTCCAGCGCGATTGCGTGTTATTTTCCGATTTGCAATTCAAAATTGAGGAAAAAACAGAGTCATTAATTAAAAATTATTCCTTGTTTATTCGATGGGGAGCACATGCCAGTGATAAGAGTTAAGAATGAATTGAAATAACTCCATTCTTCCACTCTCTGTGGGCCACTTTTTTGCGCACACACATCTCGCGTATCTCCGCGATAATGGGCCTCTCTCGCTATCACAGCAATAGAAAATGCTTGGGATATTTTTATTCCCGCCATCGACATCGTTCGCCGCTGAGATTATTTTTATATTCCCCATTTTTTCCAACTCAATCTCTCCACCAGACTGGAATCTCTCTCTCTGTGTATGGATGTGATTTGTTGGGCGGCCCTGCCGCACTGTGTAATCATTCGCGCTCCTCAGAGGTTATCACTGCCTCGATAACTTCGCATCATTTCAGGCACAGAGAAAACTTGAAAATGATACATGAGAGCCAACGAGAGAGAATCTCGATGGCATTTTTATGTAGCCCCTCATTTTTTGCCGCCGCTTTCTCCGCTGTCCTGCGATGCAGGAGTGTGTTCATTTGTCAAAAACTATACTTCTGGAGCTCGCTTTTTGCCTCTTCTCCACCCCATTCAGTCGAGAAGCGAAGAGTGTTATCGAGGCGGTCATAAATTTCACATCACTCCATTAAAGGGCGATGGATGGATGGAAAATGCAGTAGAAAAGAGACTCCATTGTGTGCAGCAATCGGCGAAATTAATAGCTAATTAATAGAGATGGATTAATAATGAATGATAATCTATTTTTATACCACTGCTAGTTGATAACATAAAATGATCAATTTTGCATAAAAAGAGCTTTAATTCTTGCGATACAAGATCTGATTGTGATCTCAAAATTGTTTTCTTAGTGATTTGGAAGCGAAAAAGTAACAATTTTGATTTCAAACTGAACTAAAGCTTAATTAAATTGCACTTTGAAAGAACTCAAAGCTTGATTTCTCTTATTAAAAGAGTCATGACGAATTCGACATGCGTGTTTTTCCATTTAGCGGTTGAGTGATCAATTATTTATGATTTTCCATTAAGGTTTCAAATGTGCGCAGACGAGGAATTAACAGCCATGTTGTGTGTATTGTTTTGCTTTTTTTCATCCATAATTCTCACTAATCTCTCTTAAGTGTGATGCAAATGGGAGATGAAGCTTTTCCAGCTCTTTGAAGAGTACAGGAAAATTGACACCAGTAGGAGTGGTGGAAAATGGTTAAATTTGCAGGAAAGAAGTCATTAATTTGACTAAGCTTACACAGACGGCACTCAAGGAACAAATGGCTCGAAATCTTGAGTCCGAACAGTTGAGAGAACCCCTCGAGAGTCTGATGGAGAACTATATTTGAAAGTCACCCCGTCTCCAGGGAGTTCCATTGAATTTCTCATCTTAATGACTGCGATATTCCTTACATCGGGACTCCCTCGCGCCCACACTCTCGCCACAATCGCTGCCATTTGCGCCCTAGTGCATAAAAAATATCAGACGTCACCTTCCAACCCGCCCCTGGAGATGAATGCTAAGTGCGAACACGTTTATGCGATTTATTTGCTTCCACGGTCATTTCTTTTATTTTCTGCTGATTGCCTCCATTCCGATATGCAAATGCCTGGCGTCTTGCGAGGGTGAGCCAGAGGATTTGCTCTCTTCGGCAGATTTACATAAGTGTAGCGCCACATCTTGTCGCACGAGATTGCAATCTCGCCACCAATTTACCCTTCAGTGCAAGTGCAAAAGACACACTCTGGGCGGGCTTCACAGTGATCTACGCCGGGCGAGATGAGCTTTCGGGGAATTGTCTCCGTGTGCCATCAGCAATTCACAGACAATCCGTCGGGCTCAGGCTGGAAATATCTCGCTCTGGATGAGACAAACTCCTGCCGGATAACATCGTGCTCATGGCAATCATTCAGAGAGACGCAAAAAAGGATTTTTGGCCCGAACTCAACACTTTGCAACTTCCCTGTTCAAGGGCGTAGGGAAGTATTGAGGGTGGATGGTTTTTCTGCTTGTTTAAGAATCTTTTGGAATTGATTACAAGAACGTATCAGGTGAAATTGCAGTGATATTAGTCTGAGGGCACCTTTTTGATGTCTGAAGTCGACGATCAAATCTTAGCTACGCTTATGACTATGTCCCATTTCGCGATGATTCAACTTGTTCCGATGTAACGAAATTTCGACAAGCACGGCTCGCATGAGATAATTGAGAGCTTTGGGCGGATAAAAAGGGTGAAAATTACAGCATTCAGCTTCTGAGGCGGCGGATGGGAAGATGTGGTGAAATACTGCTGCTGTGTCTTATCAGTGACTCTCCTTTATCCCTGCCACGATTTACTGCCACCGAGTCACGCTGGGGATTCTCGCCACTTCTTTAAATTAAGTGTCGCCTCAGCGAATTTCTCACACACACACACTCAGAGCGTCTGCTCTTTTTTTCGCCTCTTTCCCGCGCAGAGGAAAAGCCATTTGATATGCTCTGATTGTGCCATTTCTTCCACAATTTGACTCCTCGTGGCTTGGCACTTCTTCTCGCCACGTCCTCGCGCACCTAATGAGACGGACATGCTTACCTGCGTGACCTGTGCACCTGAGCCGTGCGGCAGGTGCAGTTCTCCCACTCGCTCGAGGCCCCAAGACGCGGCCCCGGAGCGACACACAGACGCTGAAACACGATTCCAATGAATTCCAAATGAAGTTGTTAATCATGTGGCGTGCGTGGGTGGGAAACACTCGAGCTCCAACACTTGAGATATGAGCAAATTTGCATTTTCGCTCCATGCCACCGCAGCACAGTCTATCTGCATTCATATCCTGGGAGGAGGATCCTTTTTTGTGCGCCAATGAGCCGATATTTCCCGACATTAATACCAATGAAACTAATTGAAATCATTTTTTCCACGCGAACAACCCCCAAAACAAAAACCCCATGTGGTATTTACATTTGCTTAATTGCACGCTGACAACGCTCTGAAAAATGCTGCGGAGTTGCAGAAATTCTCGGTGGGGTTGCGGTGGCTTCGCGAGGGGTCGAAAGGGGCATGTCGGAGGGCCTATTCATCAATTTAATTGAAAAATGGCGACTTACCCTCGGAAATTGACCAGAAGAGCGACGCTAGAGCAAGTAAGTTGCACTGAAACACCCTCAAAAGGTGCTTCGAGCATTCGGCGCACCTGCAAACTGCCCAATAGGATTGCTTGTTTAATGTCAGAACGGAGTTCTTCAGTGGGTGACCCGCGTTCCAGTTCAGGGATCACGATTCACGGCAGACAATAGCGTGCGATCTGAGACCTCTGGCGCGGTGAAATGTGGTTTATTCTCAATTTTTGAATGGCAAAGCCATCGTTGAAAATGTTGTTTGCAAATTTACTGTGGAACGAGCTTTTTACAATAAAGCTGCATTAATTGAAATTATGTAGGAATTCTCCAATTATTTATTGTTTTATACCCACAGAGGAAATTTAATACATTTAGCTATGATGTGAAATGAAAAGCCTCTTTATGCATCCTCCTTTTATGTTTTTCAACAATTATATGTGCAAGCTTTGGCAGTTTTCGAGTGCGAATCCTTTATGATTTACGATATCAAAGTGCGGTATTTAAAAGCGAGATGTGTCGATGTCTTTGACGTCGCGTGGAACTCCTTCCTGTCACTGTAATTCCATTTTCACCGGTGTAAAAAGCCTGATCCTTTGATGTCCCTCAAAGTATCCCCTCTTTCTGGGTGTATTTGCGACACCCTGTTTACTTTGTGCCACACATTTTGCCGCATCAAAGCACATTTGTTGCCTCTTTACTCACTTTCCTCGCACCATTTTGCCTTGGCTTCTCTCTCTCTCGTCAATTCTGGAGCGCGCACATCACTCACGGGATGGATTACGGCGATCCCACCCACAATGACAACATCGTCAACCGTCGAGGGAGATTATCAACCTGTCCTCAATTTAATCTCCAATGATTCTTCTTCGTCGCCACGATTTTAATAACACTTTGCCAGTGGCGCGGGAAAGATGATTTGTTAAGGCCATTTTCACGCAGCCACTCGACCAGAATAGACATTCAATAAAGTGTCTTTTGGCGGGTATTTTTGAAAGGAAAACAGTAAATTATTTTATGATTTTTCTGACGCCAACCGCACAAGTAGTAAATGCATTTTTACGGTAGAATCGCCACAATCTTCGGACAGAAATTGGAAATATTACGTGTAATTTAACCAGCACAACTTTACGATCGTTTGTCATGTTGGGATTCAATGCAAAATTGGGCACACGAAAATGTTTTGATACTTTTTCTGCTGGTTATTTATTCTGGGACAAGTGCGGCGACATTTTTCCTCTAGAGAGCTCCTGGTAAAATGTGTCACCAAGTGTTAATCATCGTTAATTATGATGGATAAACACGGAGGCGAAACTTTCTCCGGCGTGGACATTTCAATGCAAATTCGTGCATTAAAAAATGCCCATCCTGTGTCGCACACGAAATGTTTGTGTCCCTGAGAACGGGGGGGGAATTATGAGGAGCTGGGACATGTCTAAATAAACAGATGGAAGCGGTGTGTCGTCTCAAAGTGC